GCAGTGTTCCATGTGTGGAAAATTTTTTTAGGAAAGTATTTTCGCAAAACCGCATATATAATTGCGGAAATACGACAGTGTTAGCGGCGCAAGGAAAAAATGTAAGTGCGTAGGTAAAGTACCTGTATATTCCGTATCAAGGACGAACAAGTAAAGGTGATGGTTTTTTAGTAAAGAATCTGCAAGCACATTTAATTTAGGAATAGATTTTCTTTCAGACGCACAAGCAACACGTGGCATTTTTAATAGAAGCGTCCCTTAAAGGCTGACAATGAAACCAGTTCGTGTAGAAAAGGCTGAACCGTTCCGAGTTAAATTTGACCACCTGCCTAATGACGAGCAAAGTAGAATTCCGATCAAGTGGTAAAAGTGAATTTGATTGTTATTTAGTGATATTCCAGGATTTACTCAGGTTACTAACCAAGTATTACACCGGAATTGCATTGCCAGTTCGTCAAAAATACTGGTAATTAAGCACGCCCCGGAAAGGAAAATATCGTAGCAGATGCCCTATCAGAATAAAAATAGATGAAGAAGGTAATACTGTAAAAGGTGGCAATGCTCACAGCATGTAAGTTAACATTCCCGAGAAACTGTGATAACCGAACTGAGTAAGGATCCTGAATTTAAAAATATTTATGATTATTTAAAGGATCCTGAAAATTTTAGCCACCAATATATTGTGGCGATAAGAAATAGGGCGGCCCATTACGAACTAATAGATGGTCTATTATTTTATACAAAAACTACGAATTCCAACAACGAATTTCGACCTGTTATCCCAGCTAGTCTTAGATTAAATATACTGCAGGAGTTACACGACTCCCTTTAGCTTCTCATGCTGGTATTCGAAAAACCATCCAACGCGTACGCGAAGCAGTTTATTTTCCTGAGCTGCAAAAGTTAACAAGGGCGTATGTCCAGTCCTGCCCAACATGTCAAGCAGTTAATTATATTAATTTCCGCCCGGCCGGGTTTCTAAATAGTATTAAATCGGAATTTCCAAATGAAATAATTGGCATCGATTTATTGGGCCCTTTCCCAAAAAGTCAGTTAAATAAAAGTCGCTATCTCCTTGTTATGGTTGATCATTTTAGTAAGTGGATCGAAATTGTTCCCTTAAAACGAGCCTCCGCGAAATTAGTTACTGATTCTATTTTAAATAAATATATTTTAAAATACGGGGCGCCCCTAAAAGTAATATCGGATAATGGTCCTCAATTTGTAAGTAATATATTTGAAGACATGTGCCAAAAACTGGGCATACGTCATTTAAAAATGGTCCCGTATCGGCCGCAATCAAATATAGCGGAACGGGTCAAGAGAAATATAATGAAAATTGTCCGTAGTTATGTTAAAAATTTTCATAAAAGCTGGGTTAACTATGTCAATGAATTAGGTTTCGCCCTTAGGACCGCAAAACATGATACGACGGGCAAAACTCCTGCTGAGTTATTTTTAGGCAGAAAGATTATAACGCCGTTAGATAAATTATTTTATGTTCAACAAAGAGCCCCAGAATTTAAAATGGGCAATATAGAAAAATAAATTAAAGAAGCAAAAAAGAACACTGAAGTAGCACAGAGAAAACAGAAGCTTTATTATGATATGAAACGACGGGGAGTAACTTATAAAGTAGGAGATGAAGTGTTAAAAATTAAGCATTCACTTTCTTCAGCACCAGAAGATAAAACTGCCAAATTTTATCCACGATTTGAAGGACCATATGTCATAGAAAAAGTAACTCAGGCTTAGTAGTGGTGTTAAAAGCCAGGAATGGTGAAACCTGCACCGCAAACGTTAGACCAGATAAAACCATTATTTATAATCGTAATAAAATGCCAATATTTCAAGATCTTTTGCAGGATCCGGCACGGCAGACACCGCAGGCACAAGCTCCAGAGGTGGAACAACGACAATCCCAAGGGCAAGCCATTAGTAGACAGGAGCAATTGAAAAGAAAGTTTCCCCGTTGGAAAAAAAAACTGAAGGTAACAAGAAAAAGAAGTCGTTCCACCGACCAGAAAAGAGAGCACGACCACCCCCAGAATGAAGAAGGGAGAAGTACGACTAATGTGCAAAGAAGGAGCCAGGAGAAATGACAGCAACTATAACACGGCTCCAAAACAGAAGATCTACCCATCGGATAGGAGTCTACGCAGCAAAATGTCGACGAATTGATGAAGGAAGCCATCAGCTGCAGAGGAAAAAGTACAAGGAAAAATTTGAACAGCCAGCAACGAGATCCAAGCAGGAACACGAGAGACAGTTGTCCCGGTTCCGCCAAGACCAGCTGCCATCAAACGGCCAAGACCACAGGCAGAGGAAAAAGGAAGGTCTTCAAGGGTGACCGAACTGGGAAAAAGGAAGCTTCCAGAGGAAAGCACCGAAGGGCGACCGCCCGTACAAGAAGGAAGATCAACCAAACCGTAGTCTATCGCTACCTTCCAGGACTGGGCCCAGAAAAAAGGATGTCTGAATATCACAAAGATAAGTAAAACTTTATGTTACTTTGAAACCTTAAGTTAATTTTTCAATCTTACTGCAAGTGGCAGAATTCAAGAATTTTTACCTCATGTGAGGCCTACCTTTATCGCCAAAAAGGGCGAGAAAGGAGTTGTTACCGATTTTGGTATTATGTTTTTCAATTACTCGCGAGTAAAACTAAAAGTTGATGTATAATAGGTTGTGTAAAGTACTTAAATATTGTAAAAAAGTTATTGTATAAATTTTATTTAAAAGATTCTGGCAAGAAAGAAGTTTTTATCTGAAAGACTTTTTGAAATGTAGAATTTCAATGCAGAAAGAATTGGCACTTGCTTGGAAAAGAATAGAAGTTAACAATGTACTACTAATGTATGTTTTAAAATGCGTAAAATTAACGGCATGTTAATATGTTCTTATATACAATGTGAACTGTTATCTTAAAATGTTAAGAAATATTGTGATATGTTAAAAGTAAAAAGTAATGTAATGCCAAAAATTTAACTTATTCGTGTGACTGTAAAAAGAGCAAATTATTGGTGAATATGTGATAAAGGTTGAATGAATGTAGTTAGGCTCTCTGACGCTACACTTCAGAGTTAGCCACTTTTCAGAATAGTACCTCAGGGTTTAGAGATGAAATATAAGGGTGTGTTCTGAGGTTCTTGTTATGTTGAATTTTAACACGTTAGTGTTTTGATTGCAGTAGGAGGTAGTGTTGAACACGTAGTACATAGACACGCTCGTGTTTGGTGTTTTCTTTACAAACACAAGTCAGAGAGCACGGGGAGAGATAATTAAAATAACGTCATGAATGAAATAAGAATTTTAAAGGAGAAATATAAATTATATCATGTTACTTGCCATTTGATTGTGTAACATTTCATTAAACTAGTTTTCCTTCCAGATCTCTAAGGAACCAGATTTCAACTAAAAGCTCCTGTTATAGATGCAGTACAGATGAAAAAAAAAAAAAGATTGTGTATATCCTGGGAGCTGATAATTGTAAAAATTTCTTTCTTTTAATTTTCTAGTTTCTAGAGAAGAAATGTTTGTAAAAGATTGGCCTCGCGTTAGATTCTAGAGCTAAAAGTTTTCAACAAGGTCGTTTTAGACCTCAGTTTCAAACTAATTAACTCTGGCGGGATAGTATGTAAGGATCTTAAGTTTTACTAACGTTTATTTTATTTTAAATCTTTACTATCACTTCTTATTTTCTACTTCCGGCCAGAATTATAAGCGTGAAGGTTTTTATGCAAAGTTTGTCTGGCGAACGCCAAGTATTTAAGTGTGGCCTTTTTGCCAAGCGAGAGAGAGGAAGCAGTGAGTCGAAGCAGGCCGCTTACCTTAGAAGTTACGCAGTTGCTGTTGCCTTCCAGGCCAGAGGTTTTAATCCTCTTGATAAATTAAACGTATTGTAGTGTTCACAGTTCTCTGTACTACATACGCTTCCTGTTATTATAAGGCCAATCTTCCACGTTATTATTCTAAAGTTAAATTAGAGTTTAGTTTTATTTTTATATCTTTTACGTTAGACCCCGAGTGGAGGGTCATTGTATTCCGAAGTACGGGAAGTCATTGTATATAAGAGAAAAATAAAGGGTTTTGTATACCCTTCGTCTGTATCCTGTCTACTTACTACAATTAGTGAACATAGCTTTAGTAAGCTCTCTGTTCCTAGTCAGGTCATTGTATGTTTCCGAAGAAGGTTAGAAAAAACATTGAACCTGATAAGGTTTGTAGAATATGTCGAAAAACTATATCAAACTTACAAATATTCCAAACTGAGAAACCCTGGTAAAAATGAGAACATACAGAGAGAATGCTCTGAAGTAGATTCTGGTCCCCCTATGGGATATCGTGCTGTTGATGACAATGATGCTCATCCAATTTTTTACATTAGCTATGATACAAATTAGCTAATTATAATATTATTTATTTATTTTGAGATACATTACTTTGCTTTGATAAACATGAGCCTAAGATATATATTCAAAAGAAGATGAATTAATATTTACTTATTTTGAATGTTTGTAATAAACTTTAATTTGTTGTGATGAATGCATTGCCATTCAAAATGCGTAACAGCATTTTAAGTGGATTTCAACTATGTCAAATGTCCACTGACTATCCATTTTTTTAATTGATGGAAATGTTAACGCAATAAGAAACTATGATTATAAGACCATAACATAGAATTTCACATTAATATGAAAATAGAAGAAAATGTTTATTTAATATCATAAAATGACTGTTACCAAAGAAATTAAATTTATAACACAATACTTCGTTTTAAATATAATAGGAACTTTTCTTTACTGCAAAACAACACAGGAGTCTGATAAAATATCTCAAGTATGATTTCTGATAAACACACTGAGTGTTCATATTCTCAGCTAATGCCATGCTTGTCAGTATCTGGTACACTATTAGAATGCGTCAGAAAAATATAAGAAATAAACATGCAAAAGATAATAGCTCTCGAAATTCTGTATCAAGAAATTTCAAACAACTACCTGCAAAGTACGTTGCAGAGCCGTTGCCTCATAGATTGGGTAATCTATCAGGTATTCGTAATCAAGAGGAGGAGGAGGAAATAGATAAGTCTCCTCCAATGGAGGCTCAGCAACAGGGGGCTCGAAGTGTGCTACACCTTTCTGATGCGGAAAGTCCGGCTTTTGCACAGGCGGTTCTACTTTAGTTGAATCTTGACATTCTTCCTGCTCTACTTTGATGACAAATCCAGGTCTCGTGTTTGCAGAATCGGAATGGAACGTGAACACAGTTTGATAATTCTTTAACTCTACCATGCCTGCAACAAAAGTATTTTTTAATTGTATAAATTTACTATTTAATTCGAAATTAACTAATAAAAGCACAAAAGAACCAAAACAAAGTTGTAGATTATTTTCTGTTTAAATTAGAATGATCGCCTAAATGAGATACACATACTACAGATAGTAATAGTGGCGTAATATGCTCTTGCGTTACTCGTTCGGTGTAATTTTTAAGAAACGCTAACGAATTTTTTCAAGAATATTTCCAAGTGGGCTGCGCGAACAATGATTAAATTATTGAGAAAAAAAGGCAAGGGAATCGACAGAAATCTTGAAAAACTCACTGGTGATTTGTTAGTTTACCAAATTGAATGGAAAGCATGAAATGTGCACCTTTCACCCAAAGTGGCCTTTAAAGGATGCAAAACGTTTCAAGGAATCAATCTTCAAGATCTAGCCAAACACATTCTCTTCCAAGACAAATTAATTAAAGTTAACCCACATAATAATAGATGGCACCTGTAATTAAATACTAGTGTGACCTAAAGAGCCAAAATTCACTACAAAGAATTGGACATGTGAGTAGGCATTTCTAAAGTAGTTGTGGCTCATGAATAACTAGATGAAAGATCATAGAACTTAATTATGTTTTCATCAGATTCAATTTCTGGAAAGTAATAAGTGATAAGTGACGGTGGACGTGGGCACTGTCCCTTTGCCGTAAAGATTAATCAGTACAACACCACGTCCACCCTTATCTAAAATTGGCTAGAGATTGCATATAGGTACATATAGAACATAATAATTATTCCTGTAATTACGCAAATGAACTTGGGAGAGCTTTCATGCAGGGCTAGTACATATGCACTACATGTGTGCAGAAGGCGGTTGCAACTAAATTACTTCAGTGCACGTATAAATAGTGCTGTGCATATACATATTTACATAATTATGACATTGCATGTCTTATATAGACACTATGCGATACGGCATTGACATTATATATGAGGTATGAGATAATAGTGGTATTACATTACCATTATTGACATTACATTTACGAATTACATTATGCAGATTCAACTCTGTAAATACATTGTCAGGAGCAACATTGCATATAGAACACATTTATAACACTATATTTGCTCTTGCTTTTATGTGATTGAGCTTCAGGATGGCGTACAGGCAGACCTGATATATAGACATTATAGGTGCTCAAGGCAGAGGTCCTGCTGTACCTGTGAGATTTTTGTACAGGCACATAGATACTTATTTATGACAGTGTTTGCATATAATGCGGTACTGTAAGTATTTTCTATATTATGTTACGTAATTCAATACAACATTGCATATGACTTTACATTACTATTCAGAAATGACGTTACACTTGCGTTACGTGGTATTACATTTACAGTTTGTGCAGCGTTCGGATTCAGCAGTGTTTTTATTATGTCCAACGTGACATTAGATTTTGATACATATTGAGCAATATAATTGCTCTGGCAGTTATGCAAATGAGGTTAGGATGTCTGACATGGCGGGGCATGTGAGTATACATTTCTACTGTTCATAGGAGCATCTTGCTATGTCACTGCGGTATGCGCAGACTGTACTGTACATATGCTTTTGCATACATATTCTAAGATATTGTCCTTTGACTGTTCAGTACATCCGATGCGACATTTACATTTAAATACACGTATTTAAAGCAGTTAGGTTGTGCAGCCACTTATGGGGATGGGCATTGGGTAGCATTACACTTGCAATTCAGGTCTAGGCAGAGCCTGAAGTCAGCTGGGTACTTTCTTTGTCTGACACGTCATCCATATTAATATTCACTGTTAAATTAGTGGAGATGTTCGCGCATACTTGCTGATGTGCATGAACTATTTTATATAATGGTTTTTAAGTTATTTACATTGCTTGAATTTTGATTAGTACTGCTGAGATGTTGCGGTACGCTTCGGATAAACAGTACATGTACACATACGCGGTATACTTAGCCTTGCGTATACGTGGTATATGTGGCCTTGCACTAATTATTCGACTGCGCAAAGGTCAGTTCCGTGTCTGGCAAGTAAATTCATAATTTTAATGATCTGTCGACAAAGGTGCTTTTGCTTAATCATGAATTTACAGAAGGCCTGCGTATTGACAGTTGGAATACGTATGTGCAGTTCGCTGGTAAGTGGGCAGGTTGTGACATAATGCTCCGGAGTACCCAGGTGGCCACAACTGCACTGATCTGTGTCAGTCACGCCATGCCTGGCAAAGTACTCCGGGAAAGGCCCATGGCCCGTGATATAGCGCACCAAGTGCGTATTAGAACATAGCCGGGCAGGGTTTACGTACATTAGATGGTAGTGTGTACGCCTGCCTGTTTGTGCAGTGTCCCATTCTTCCTGCCACTTAGCGAGAGCCTGCAGATGGAGATGTCGTTTCAAAGAAGAGTGTGCCATGGAATTTCCAATTTCCAATCTGCTTCTATGTTGAGGGCTGCGTCTTTCGCGAGGAGGTCGGCTGCCTCGTTACAGGTGTTTCCTGCGTGGGCTTTCGTCCATGCCAGGCGAACATGCAGATGCTCTGTCTGCCTTAGATGGTATTGAATTTCTTTGATAATTGTGGACGTGTGTGCCGGATTTTGGATGGCTTGTAGGGCTGACATGCTGTCGGAAACTATTGCTGCATTCCTGATGTTATGGTAAGCAATATGTTGTACTGCCTTTTGAATTGCCAGTGCCTCCCCTTGAAAGACGCTGTTGTTTTTTGTTCAGATGGCCCTTCCATTGCGCGACCTGTTCTTGGCCTTGAAACATTACGTACGCACATCCGACGTTGTCATCCATTTTTGACCCATCAGTAAAGATACGGGTATTGTACCTGTTCATATCTTCAGGTCGCCCTTTGAGGTTGATTCGTACTCCTACGCTCTGCTGTGCTGGGTGAAACTCAAGTGGATTGGCTGGAATTTCATAATCTCTGGGCCAGTAAGTTTCTTCATATAAAGTGGCTGGTTGCCGCAGTTGCTTAACTTGTTGCAGGACTGCCTCCCTTTCGGCGCTGATGTGAAGTGGAACGAGACCTGCTAAAATGTTCAGTGCGCTAGTAGCTGTCGTGCGGTAGGCCCTCGTGATGTTTAACATAAATTGCCTTTGTATACTTGAAAGATGCCGCACTTTACGGCTTTGCATCGGCTGGGCCCATACAGCCGCCGCATACGTTACAATCTTTTCTGCAACTGTCTGATAGATGATCTTATGAATATGCGGATTGAGGCCCCAACTGTGACCCTGCATTAACCGCATGTTCTTAGCAATGGTCGCGGTACGTTTTTTGAGATCAATTACATGTGGGATCCAATTTCAGTTCAATTTCAATTTTTCAATTTTTCAATTTATTATCAAACAGTAGACCCAGATATTTTAATTGCTTAACTATTTTTATCCGCTGGCCATTGATGGTAATGCGAGGCTGTCTGACCAGCGTTCCTCCTTTTTTGGGGAAAAGCAGAATTTGTGACTTGCTTTCCGCTATTATTAATTTTATCTTCTGGCATCTTTCGCTGAACAGGGAGCAGGTCTGATTGCTGTTCGCTTGTAGTTCCTCTCTCGTTCGACCTTTTACTATAAAGGCCGCGTCGTCCGCGTAAGCTATAACCCTTGTATGCTCCGGCCACTGTGCAGAAAGAATACTGTTGAAAGTTAAGTTCCAGAGGTTGGGGGCCCGCGCATGAGCCTTGTGGGCATCCGCGGGATTGCCTCCTCTGGAGTATACCTCCGTTGTGGACGACTATGACGCTTCGGTCTGACAGGTAGTGCTGGATTGTTCTGTACATGTTCGATGGGCATTTGGCTTCTGCCAGCGCATTGAGTATGGCTGGCCACCACAGCGTGTCGAAGGCGCTTTTTAGATCGAGGCTGATAAACGCCGTGTGGTGACCGTTCCCTTGATTTTTATAAATTTCGTTTTTGATTTCTGCCAGTGCGTGAACCGTTGATGTACCGGTTCTGAAGCCATACTGGATTAGGGCTTAAGTAATTGGTGAGGTGCAAGTGATGCCTCAGCCGATTCATAATGATCTTTTCTTACACCTTCCCCAACGCAGACAAGAAGCAGATGGGTCTGTACGAGTCTGGATTGGAGGGGTCTCTATTTTTCTTTAGAAAGAACACTGCTTGCCCTACTTTGAAACACCGCGGGAATGTACCCGTGTTATAAAGCCTGCTCAGGAGTGAAGTCAATTTCTGGAAAGGACAACTGCATGATATTTTCATGGTTTCTCCGTATGTAATGGAGTACACGCCGGTTTTCCTTAAAAGATCTTCCACGGAGATGGCCCTCCTGTGCTTTGCCTGAGTCAGTTAACTAATAAACCAAGCAAGGCAACAGATAGAGGATCAAGTACTGCGGCAAAGAGGTCTGTTGTTACAACATCTTGTGCGCGACCAGAAAGAGAGACAAGTCTCATTTCAGACAGACAAAGATTGCTATTTGGACTGTGACATTTTTCATCACTTTGATCAGTATCAAACAAACTTTGATTATTGAAAGAAAGTACAAACTTTGATCAGTATCACAAGATGCCATCAGCAAAGAATGAACTCATTCTCATTCTCAAGCTCTAAAAATGGTCGTTGTCATCTTGGTAACTCTAAAATAATGATGCTGATATTCATCTTTTGTCTTTGCTGATATTCTTCATTTGAAACGTCACTTGCTAAGGAACCTCATTCAGATAGACGGGCAAAGTTTCAGTGACACAGTTAAATGATATACTCTGAAGCTGTGATTATGTTTTACAAAATTATTTGGTTTCAAAAGATTTAAGAATTCCTGAATCAATATTTATTTCTTGAGATTCGAGATTCTCTTTCAAAAAATCTCAATAAAAAAATGCTTAGTTAAAAGTAAAAAATATCTTGATTTAATAAAAGAAAAGAATTACAAAAAATTCGTAAATAATGAAAAGAGACCAATACAAATTAATTTACATTGTTGTTAATCAATTTTTTAACTATGTTGAAAACATATAATAATATTTGCTTCAGAATGACTTACAGCTTTTACCAAATAGAATCAATACACGCAAACAATTTATTGATTTATTTGTTGAACAGATCTTGTGTTTGCAGGTAAAAATTCCGTAAACGAAAAGGACTCCTTTCAAAACAGTACATTTATCAGCACTTCTAAATTCCATAGTCATACAGAATGTGTTTTGATATATAATTACTGTAGGAAATTCTTTTAATTTTCCTATTTATATAATATCGACTACATCATAAACAAAACCTCATGATCATAACTCAAGCAATGCAAACACCGTAATATCTTTAGATGTACAGGATGGAACAAAATTAATGATCACAACTGCATAGGGACAAATTACGTAATGTAATGGGCGATGGAATGTGAAATGTTAACACAGAAACTCGTTAAATATTAAAAACATGAATAATGAAAAAGTCATTTTAATAATGGAAAAATGATCGATAGTTACAAGAACTGTTCAAAGAAAAAACCGCCAACTACATTACATGCATTGCAACGATGACGAAGTGATTGAAAGATGCCCGGATTGTTACATATTTCGGCAACAGAGATGTTGATTCATGCGGCAATATCTTTAGGTGAGTCAGTCTGAGTGTCATAAGCGACATCTGTCATCACGATGTGATGCATGTTTTGTAGTTGACGGTCTTCTATTCTTACACAGTCCTTGTAGTTGTCAAACATTATTTCTATTAAATATTCGTAACTAGATAAATGGCTTTTCGTTCTCCGCGTTCTTTGTCCTTACTCTATTTTCTCGTTCACATTTCACATCACATGAAAATTCTTACTTTTGTCATGTTCTATCACCCTTAAAATTTTGACCATCAATGCTTTTAAACTCAGAAAAATTTGGAAAATTAGAGAGATCTCATTCGGTTATACTTTGTGAAAAGATATGCCTTTCTTAGAGCAATTACTGATCGTGGATGATGTAGTTAATCTGCATGATCCTGATTAAAACTCGCTGTATCAAACGTATACAGCATGAACATTGTAGTTATCTGTCAAGCATTTAATTTTCTTCTTACATTTAGATTAAAAAGATACAGTTATTCTGAAATCAAGAGGTCTATATTTCATTTGGCCAATATCATGGAGGAAAGAACTTTCATGTGTCTGGAAAAATTAATTTATCACATAAAAGGATATTTTTTTTTCTTTTTAAGAAACATAATCCCGAAATTAAAAGATTCAAAATTTCTTGAGAATAGTAACTTGAAATTTCTCTCACCAGGATAGTGGAGCAATAAGGCAAAAGTGTCGAGGAATATTGTCCAGAAGATCCTTTCTGCTTGATTGCAATACAAGTTCGCCCATCGTCAGAATTGTTTCAAAGCCTGATTAAAACTTCCCTCAGCGGATTGTTTCAAAGGTACACCCACGTTAACTGAACATACCTTCCTCCAACTTTCGCCATTTTGAGCCTTATAAAAGGTCAAAGAAGGATCGTCGTATTGTTTTCAAGGCTGGGAAGCTACTGAAACACTATTTGCAAAAGTGCCTGCTACTAGCTATGTAGACCGGAATCTATGAACATATCATTCATGGGTCATTTGCCTAAATTAATTTGCCTAATTAGAAGTAAGAATGTGTTGTGTACGTATTTTGCATACTTACGAATTTTCTTGTCGACTGTAAAAGTTTGCAGAGATCCCGCCAAACTTACTGCAGTCATTCCAGCAAACGTTTGAAGGTATATATTGCTCTTTATTTTATTAGATATTAGTTACAGTTATAGCACATAGAACTTTATAAGCTTCTTGCATTTAGCATTCGAAAAGAAGTGGAACAGGTAGCTCTTTATTTGATAAAAAATCAACAGGTACAAATTACGAATACAGCACACAAGAAATTAGTCGGAATTATATAAGACCAAGGCAAAGATGTAATGTGTTGTGATGTTATGCTCAACTGGCGTCAGCTGTTTGGCTTCAGTTTTGTTTTTGAAAATGCGAAAGTACTTATCTTTTATTTGTTAAAAAGTAGGGTTAGCTCCACGGTCGGTTTTTTTTTTTTTTTTTTTTCTTTTCCTGGATGAAGTTTAAAATGTTGCCAGAAATGATTTCGTCAGTCAGTGAATAACAGGTATTCAGGTATTGATAGCAAGGAAATGATGATGCATATTTTATCTCCATCTTAATGTAAACTGAAGAATGAAAACATTATGACCACCTACTCAATGATGCGTTGCACAACCTTTGGCATGCAAAACAGCTGCAACTCGCCTTGGCATGGATGCCACGAGTTCTTGGTAGATGACTGGAGACGGGTTATACCATCAAATGCTTAAACAGGGATTACGAAAAGTCGAGATATTTCTACATGGTGATGTCCGAGCTCTGAGCTGCCGCTCTATGACATCCTAAATCTGCTCTATCAGGTTAAGATCCGGCGAGTTAGGTGGCCAGGCAATTTATTGGAATTCATCCTTATGCTCCTCGAACTACTGTTCCAGAAGTTTTGAGAAAACCTTATTTCTTCATACTCTTTAATGACTTCTAAGGCCTAAAATCTCCTATTAAGTTAACAAATTTTCATGCAATCTCGCTGAGTTATTGCATTTATGTAATTTAATCAAAAAATATTCTCTTCATAGCATGCAAAAAATAGCTTTAATTTGTGTAGCACTGGATTTTAGAGATCACGGTATATATCCCTTTTGATTTAGCAACATGAGTTTCAGTAATAATTACTCGCACTTTTAATAAATCTGATTACTTTTTTAATCACCAAGAAGACATAAATAAAGTTACTGCTAAGACAGGTCAGATTATAACTGGATATTCTTCATGTTAAATATGAAAAAGTTTTGTTTCGTTCAGTTACCAACTGATGTTTTTCAAATTGTGTGGGGTGAGAAGCGCTTCAGTGTTTTTAGATAATAAGTTTTTTCTGTTTTCAAAATGGTATTTTCTCACATTTCTTAACCAATTTGAACATCCTTAACAAAATTTCAAATTCAAAATCGGACTGAATTTTAGAGAGGCCTCCATTCATTTCTAGAGATTTTCTTCAATTTCATTTTTAAAAAGACTTATCTCTCAAATAGACTGCAGCCGTCTTTGAAATCATTTCCAAACTGAGGGTAAATTCTACTTAATCTAAAATTCGCATTCAATTTTCTTATATATATTCAGTCTGAAATTGCTGAATATTCATTACATAAAAGCTAAAGCAAACCATTATGTGCAATATAATTCATATCCAATTAAAAAATTACTTGGCTTATTTAAGTATCTACTTCTCTTCATTACTTGTCAATGTTAACGTGCCTTATTTAAAAATTAAACTGGAAGGCATTGTTTTAAATACAGGATGTCCCACTGATCCAGCATCTTTGGGATTAATCGCTAAACTAGATACATCAAGAGAAATTCACACCAGAAACCACATAACATCTGCCAAAGAAAAATCCAGATTTTATAAGATCTGACTGTCACCTATGCCGGGTACTCGAAACATCTTGGTTTATGACCAAAACGGGTTTGTAGCTGTTGGATGAAAAGATCCGTCTAGTTTAGCCGATCAATCTTAACGTTTTCCAAACTGTACTATCGGCGTGGTAGTATCGACTGTATCAATTAGTTGCAAACAAAGAACTTATTTCAGTAGGATTCTATAAACGTACCTTACAATGCTTGACATTTGGGGCATCTTCTAGGCCCTAGGGCATTATTCTATTTTCAAAGATACAACTATATTAAAGAAAAAATTGTAGATATACAAAAGAAAATAAGAAACTTACGCGTATGGTCTGCCGGTAGAGTTCCACAAAGTTTCTGCCCGTCTACTTCGAAGTAATCATATTCACATCCCTCGCTAGATTCTATATCAAAAGCGCGGAAAGACAGCTTCAGTCGACAAATCCGAGGTCCCAGCCTCCTAATGGTGTACCGGCACTCCACATCGGAAGGATAGTTCTCAGGATGTTCGGGACTCAAAATGGTGAAAGCCAGCGATGCATATAGACGATCGCAAGTACGAGGTTTGCCATTCTTGCGCTGGGATGGAGACCTTCCTGTACAGATAATGAAAATTTAGCTGAAAATTTTTATGTATTTTCTCAACTTCAAACAAATGAAAAGAAATTTCCGACTCTCTGTTCAACAGAGCATGCAAAGTAACGCAAACTGTAAAAATTTTTTTAATAACGTAATTGAAATGATTGTTAAATATAGCTTTAACTTTTAGAAATCTGAATAAGAACACATTGGTATACTGCTTAAAACATGCAGTACCATAAAAGAGTTATAAAACCTGTAAGATTTTTATTATTTTTAACAAGCACAACTACACTCATGTCCATAAATTAAGGATAATTCAGAGTCACGCGGAAATCGAACTCTAAAATAAATATATCACCTGTAAAATCACTACACATATCTTCAAGAATCATATGAAAATTTCAGGAAGTAACCAGATGACACCGATGGTAACTTCACAATACGACAGTGTAAGAGAATGATATATAAGGAATACAGGCAAAGAGTAAAATTGCGCAGGCGCTTTATATAAGCATTTCAGGCAATAACGAATATTATGACACAAAGGACGCATTTGGATGATTTTTACGTGGAAATTATCGGCCGTCTGGATATGGGCGTACCCAACTGGAAGTATCAGACGAACTTGGAATTGCCCAATTAATGGCTGAACTTAAATGTTTTATTTCGGAATCTGACTATTTTTTGCAGATTTTTTAGAATTCTTAACATAAAGCTTCTAGGTCAACAGAAATGATGCTATGAATGTTTTTAGAAACTCTTTCCTTGATAATTCCCTGATATATCTAATACAAGGATTTAAATTTTGCAGCTCAGTATTTTTATTAAATTCGTTGTGAATTCAATGCAAGAACCTGCGATTTAGTTGCAGTTTCATAACAAATTTTGACATCCAATGTTAATTTAACTGCTTCTTCTTTCGGATACCTTATTTTATAGTGTGCGTTCATAACAGAAAATTATGCGATTTGTTTTGACTAAATGAAGACTTGCAAATAGCTGAAGTGATACTGGAGTCGTTCTCTATTTTCAGCACTAATTCGACTGAAACAAATAAAGTTTAAAAATTCATACTTTTCGTCTAGACGAAATGAGATACCTACTTTTGAATTCCGTTGCTTTCTCTTCATGTAATATGAATAAGCTGAATCCTTCTGAATCCTATACATTAAATATATTTTTCAAAGTACAATAGTCTGTTATTTTAAAACAGACACTTCAAGGTGGTAAAGAGCTTTCCCTCAGTAACGATCTTAACATGTGTCGTAATCATCGCACACAGGGAATTAGTTGGATTATAGAAAATTAGACGATTTGTCGTTCATTACATTGCATTTAATTATGAGATATAGTTTGACAGAAAAAATGACCCTGAAGCGTCTCTTCCAAAGTAACAGACTATAGTTATTAAAGGTTTCTTTAATTATAAAATCTCCAAGGAACGGTAGTATTAGCACCGGAAATAGGTTTGTTTTCAGTATGCACAGCAAAAAACTCATTAGCATAAAATCTTCCATTTGTTTCCTAAATTGTGACAATCATTGCTTAGTAGAGTAAAAAAGGGTAGCTATTTAAAATCAGCGTATGTTTCTTCATGATATTTTGATGGTTTTTGGTGTCAACATATTTTTATAACTTTCATGCTCAATAAATAAATTTCTATGCCGTGCACTACGAACATGATTACAGAATTTCTGTTCAACTAGGCTTACTATATTCTAGAGAAAAGAATCCAGGACCACCGCGCAGGAAAATGGGACACAATTCATTCTATAGTAGGCATACACATCAAAAAAGTATTTTTACGTTTCTTTTTTAAAAAAATGTTGGTAAACCGTTGAATAATTTTTAATTAACTGCAAACATGGCGCATTATTCTTTACATTTAAAACCACTGAAAAAAATATTTTTCATAATTTTCTTCTGATTTGCAGTTTAGAAAAGTTCGGCTTATAGTTTTAAACATATTTGGGTTTCGTATTTCTGTACGTTTGACACCATGTCTAAGTCAATGTTTTTTAATTTTAGAGAAAGTTTCGATGATTTTTGATTTTTTGATAAAGTATCCCATTCTCGTTACTACATATACACATATTTTCAGATTTTAAATTCGCAATCGGATAATTATATTGAAATTTTATCATTAATATACCAAATGTACATGCCCATTTTGAAAGCGTCATTCAATAAATTATCTATTATAAAAAATTAAAATGCTTTTTGAGCATTTCTTGTTTCCAAGAAGGTATTCGATGTAAATTAATAGATGTAAATGTGATAAAACCAATAGTAGCTGGAATAAAGTTAATACAATTTTCTCATGAATATTTTACCCTTGCAAATTCTAAACACATTTTTAATTCACTGAAAAGAAAAAAATGTACCCCATAAGGCAATTTATTGCTATTAATCAAGACACATGACTTTTATTGCTCCTCTTTCAGCAATAAAATGCGCAACAGAATCCTTCTGTCATAGTACAAGGTCCAGCAAAAAATTCTTCATGGAAATAACAAAAATAAAAGAAGTAGAACATAACACATTTATTGCACAAACACCATGAGCCATTTGTCACCATCAACATAAAATTGTTTATTATCACTATTTTCGAGTGATCGAAATATTTCCAGAATCTTATCACATAATCTGTAACCTAATCATATCATTTTTATTTTAACAATGATATTCTCCAGATGCGACACCGTATACACATCTGAAACGTATCTTAAAATATTATATATTTCTGCTTCTCATACCATTGTAAATTTCTTTATTTCATTCATGATTTCATCAGCGATACATGCTTTATATTTTCAAATATAAAGTGTGTATCACAGATGAAATCAAGAAGACTAGTAAGGTGTCTCGAGAGAAATATGAAGAGTCTTATATAATGTAAGATTTTCTGGAAAATGTTCCGTCAGGATTGCAAGAATATTTTTTGTGCGTAACGTCATAGCTGATGTCTCCTTATCATCACAACATATCAGCTACCCGGTGATGATTAAAAAATAGTATATCGTACTCCTCTTACTTGTGCAATGAATGTGCCACTTCCAAGTCGTATATTGGAGGTTTTCTGTTAAATCTTATTCATCTAATATAGACTAAATCCCTCTGTCCTCGACAAACTAAACACACATTTTAAAATATATCGAAAAGCAATTTAAATCAGCATCACTGAACTATCCCTGAACAGCATGAAGGACAAGAAGCATTTAAATACGGTCGCTTACCAAAAGCAGGAGAGCATGGTAACTGTCTGTAGACAGCATAAAACCCTTTGTCTAAAATAGAATCATCGCTCACAAACGTAACATTAACTTCCCGTGGATATCCATAGAAAGTAACAGTTCCTATGATGGGAAAAAATGATTAATTATGAAATCGACATATTTTAGCATAAGAATTTGTAATAAAAAATAAAATTAATAAACTTAATTTATCAGATAAGTTTATTTTCAGTAATTAACTAAATTTTATATCAGTTTTGCATTTGGTAACATTCATAGAAAGCCAAACATAAAGCTAAATACACCAGTTATTTAAGAGATCTAAAATAAATACAATAAAATCTCTATTAACTGGCACTCAGTTAACAGACCAATACAACGACACTTATATCAATACAAAATACCAATACAACGACACTTCTGAAGTTGCAGAAATTTATGTAGAAATATTTTATATCCGTAAGGTAGTAAATTATTTTCTCCCGCCTTACTGCGTGCCTTCATGGTAAAATTGAAAGCATGTCCAGCTAACAATCGGGAAATCCAGAATTCGAATCTCGGCGAGGACACTGCACATTTGTTTCATGTTTCCTGTTCCGAAATAAAGGTAATATCTCTACAAGCTAGTAAAAAATATGTATAGTACTTGGACAATGAATCTGAAACATCTGGCAGTCGAAACACTCCAAATTTCATGTCAAAGTATGCAGTTCCATTTGGAAACCTAATTTTGAAGTTAATTACCAGTAGCAGAATGTGAAGTTTGAATTTTTAACATTTTTAAAGATACTACTTCAAGCGCGTGTAATTATAATCCATAAATGAAGAATATATGAGAATTCAAAACAGGATGCCATTATAGGCAAGTGCCCGCCATTGGGGAAAAAAGTTCAAAAGAGGACAATATGTAGGGTTTATATTTATTTTAACTAACATTTATTTTAAGTTTAAACTATCGTTCCTGTCAATCCTTACTTTCCCCTGGAACTGCCAATGCCAGAATATGTAAATTTGAGTAGAACGCGCAAGCATTCAAATTATCAGCGGAAGTAGTATGATTTAATAGAAGGAAACGAGTTGGTGAGAGAGTTATTCTTACTTAGCGAGCGCGAAGGTAGTTATCGAGAATTGAAGAACCCGCGTTGCGGCCTATGTTCTTGGCGGGAAGTAGTTGCAATTGTTCCAGTGAGCTTCAAGTCTGCTGAATTAGCAGAGGTATTTGTAAAACGCGGTGAGTTAGTTATTTTAGAAGAAGTTATTTGGAAAAACCTTCAAAGTGTTAAAATTAATTGCAGCCAAAAACATAAAGCAACTGTTACTCAGATAATTAAAAAAACTTAATATTCTTTGCTCTTCCCTTTATGCGGAAACTGTTTCAGAGAAACTTTGCATAATTAATGCTGTCGGTTAGGCAGACATAACGATGCCACTGATAACTAGCGCTCATGTTAAACGCTAGTTTCAGAGGTGTCAGGAGAGCTAAAATTTGACAGTCAGAAAAAAATGTGTATTGTTGTTGTCAGAAATGTGCATTGCGGAATGCGGATTAGTATTTTACAACAAAAAGTGGGCAGTTTATTTATCCCTAGTTAAACTAATAAAGAAACTTATAAAAAGGTGTTACTATGATCTGTGCTTTATTACCCTAACTGTATCAGGTTCAATGTTCCTTCTAACCTTCTTCGGGAACATACAATGACCTGACTAGGAACAGAGAGCTTACTAAAGCTATGTTCACTAATTGTAGTAAGTAGACAGGATACAGACGAAGGGTATACAAAACCCCTTTATTTTTCTTTATATACAATGACGTCCGTACTCGGAATACAATGACCCTCCACTGGGGGTCTAACGTAAAAGATATCAAAAAAAAAACTAAAACTCTATTTAACTTTAGAATAATATACGTGGAAGATTGGCCTTATAATAACAGGAAGCGTATGTAGCACAGAGAACTGTGAACACTACAATACGTTAATTTATCAAGAGGATTAATACCTCTGGCCGGAAGGCAAATAGCAACTGCGTAACTTCTAAGGTAAGCGGCCTGCTTCGAACTCACTGCTTCCTCTCTCCTTTGCTTGGCAAAAAGGCCACACTTAATACTTGGCGTTCGCAGACAAACTTTGCATATAAAATCCTTCACGCTTATAATTCTGGCCGGAAGTAGAAAATAAGAATGATAGTAAAGATTTAAAATAAAATAAACGTTAGTAAAACTTAAGATCCTTACAACTGTATGAACGATATCTATTAGATATGGTCCACATTTACCAATAAGATAAAATTTAAGTTTATTAAGACGAAATTCTTCATTTATTTAAGGATTTAATATGGCCATTATGTTTATAAATAGCATGAAGTTAGTCATGACAGAAAGAATGTTGTGCATATGTACATCTTTCTAGAAGTTCTTAAAGATAACTATAATAAAGTCTAAAAAAATATACATAGCATTTTCTGGTGGTTGTAAAATAATGGAATACCTTTGCTTTCTTCTGATTCGATTTTAAATCAAGGACATAAAGTATAAAGGCTATGCAGATTTCGGAAAATTATATTTGCGTTTCAACTTCTGTAGTTGATTTGGGTCTTATTATAAATAAGATATTTAGGCAGCTGTCAAAGAGTTGATATCTTTTCATATGACTGATTATTTATACGTACACGCAAATCATTCAAAAAAGGCACTCATTCATTCCTCCTGATGCATAATTCAAAAATGGAATGCATTTTGAATAATGTAGCATTCGGACAAGGTCGATATTGGATTGTTTGTCAGTCCTCGAACAGGATATTATGATTTGCCCATCACACTCTCAAAAGTTAGGAAGGAAAATATTAGGATTTATTAGCCAAACTTCTAATTTATACAAAAAAGAATTAAAGAAAAATTTTCCCCATAAACTCAATGCGATGTCATGAGTGAAGCGATATTCAGTTTGAGGTTTTGAGGTTTTCTTGTTTGAAAACCACATTAATTTCTTTGAAATGACCTCGAGTTTGTTAAACAAATTATTTGAAAATTTAGCGTCTTTAAGGATTAAATAAAAAATATTTTTACTCAAAAAAGGACATACTTTGTAACTAAGATGTCTGTTTAAGCCAATAGAAAAGGTTTATGCAAACGAAATTATACAACGTCTCAAATTCCAGCGGTAAGGAAATACCAATGAAACGCTTTAGATTTTATATGTGCATTATGTTTTAAAATCTATTTTTCTAAAATTGTTTTGTAGCAGAGAATCCTTCCCTCAAGCTAATTTTTAATATTTTCTTCCGATGAAGTCTTACATAGGAGTAATGATGCCAAGAAGTATCTTCGTAAAGTGATGGACTGGAAATAAATACAAATATTAGTTACTGAGATAGTTTGACATAAGTATTAGATTTTTACGATAATAGATAATTAGGATCTGGCTATTGTTGAGACACTTTTGCCTCATAAGACGAAATGTGACAATGTTAACTGTATTTGTGATTTTGTAATTATATATCCTAAGAAGTTTAATTTTAAAAGTTTCATAAAGTAAGTGATAATACTAATGTGATTACAAAGATTTGCCCCATAAAACAATTGTTAATGCTGTCTAAGAAATGCATACGTTTAATATTTAGCATAGAGTGAATAACAATAAATATTTTGTTTAACAAAAGAAAAGAAAGCTCATCTACTAAAATTAGTGATTAAATTTGATTGAATTAGACTTAACCATAGCTGAAGATATTAACAGCGATTAAGGCAAAAGATATCAGTTTTAATTAAGAAATCCTAAAATGACGATGCGGAATCCGTGAGAGCTATGCTCTAAGTTATTTTTCAGAAAAGCTTGAAGAGAAAACGCGGTTAAAAGAGAAAACGAAGAGGGAAATGCAAGTTGAAAAGTCATCAATAATAGCAGAAAAATCAAAGAGTGGTAATATCTACCGGTATTCAGTTAAAAACTTCTTAAATAAAAATCCATCTTAAAAATATTTTGTCAACTTCCAATCCAAAGGCAGATGCTTCTTTGTTCTTGTTTTATTCGAAAGATAAAGAAAGATTTGTAAGATTCCAAGAAGAAATGCCAATTACTTGTTTAAGTGGAGCTTTATCAAACATATTGTGCGAAACTTATTGCTAGGAAACCTAGAAACCTAAAGACAAATTTCAAAAGGAATTCTTCTACAGTGACTTAAACTGAAGCGGAAGTTTATTTGGTTTATTGTTTTACCTTTTTCTTCTTTGTCTGAGAAGTTAATATCTGCTTTTTCGCTTTAAACAATTCATGACGCGAATGTACGGGTCAGTCGGCTACTTTCCTCAGCTTCGTTACAGAACTTCGTATCCAATGTCACTAATAACATTCATAATGTAGTTAAAAATGGTAGTTTTGTGCCCAAAACCAACGCCTTATTTGAAACAAAAATTCGCCAAATTCATATCACAAACAGCACAGTTTGTTTAATTGAAGCAGGATTAAAGGACACGATATACTGATCAGCTTTGAGAACAATCGCATATTTCAATCCAGGAGACCATATCTCCGTATATGACAATGTATCTATTCAGTAAAATCACTAGACATAAAAGAATTCATCCCGTACAAGATGAAATATGTTTTTCTTTTGTAGAAATCACCGTCTTTTTATGAAGTTGCTAACACAGAAGATCCTAAAACCCTAATCGGGATTTATATTTCCTCAGTCGTGAAATCTTGCTCCCAAGATCGCCACGTTTCACCTAAACCTAAGTCCATTCGAGGAAATTCTGCAGCACTGAAAACCTTAAAAGTGCTGATTCCTCACTAAGATGATGAGATGGAATCATAGGAGGAGTTTATAACAAAGACATTACTTGTTCCTCGCATCGATAACTATTTTTCCTTCCAAGGGAATCTTGTGTTAGTTTAACGATGCTAAGAAATTTTTTGAGAGGAAGTGGACAGCAAAATAGTAAATAGTTTACTGATAATTAATTATCGGACTAGTTGCCGTTGAGAAGCTTTCGTCTTTCAAGAAGGTAAAGAATGAGACAAATTTAATTGTATTCATGATTTTTCAATTATATTGTAAATGTGAGAACAAATGTGCTATGTATTCCACCCGAAAGTCTCAGTTTTAATAATATGAAATGCGGATTACATGAGAATGAAGAAGGTTACCATTAAAGGTGGTTACTTTTAAAAGTAGCAATGGTTTATCTGACTCCTGGATATGAATGAAACAGCATTTGATACAAAAATATTGTTACGGATTTGGTATTTAATTAGTTAATGCTAGTAGAATTATAAATAAAATTGTTTTATTCCCCGTGCAGTGCAGCGCGTGACGAATATTAAAAGAAAGCTAAACCGGAAAATTAAAAATACAAGAGCACGTGCATTTACCATTTAATAAATAAATATCTCTTTTGGATTTCGAGAAATTGCTAGAACAATCTCGAGCGTGATTAAAGCTTATAAAATAGGAGGAAAACCTTTCAATTCAGTTTAGTTAGTTTGTTTAGAAAACTGCTCTTGTTGACTGTAGCGAATTCGCGGATTAGCTTTCTCTAGCTGTTTTGAATTAAGTTCTGTTGAACGTTTGAGTAGTTAAAAGATAACTACTGTGAGTATGTAATACTATTGTAATACTGTACGAATATCTGAGGAAATTTAAACATTTTGTTTTATTTTTGTGATAATAATAAATTTTGCTCATTTTTCATCGGACTTGTGTATTTAATTCATAACGATGCCGTACGCACACAACAGTATATTTCATTAAGCACACAGAAGTAAGATTCGCACCGGGAGTATTGCCTAGCGGTCTTGTCACTCCAGCTGGCACCCGCCAAAAGAGTGCTGTGAGGCGAGACAGAAGTTGTGACGTAAAATATAACAGGTGATGTGCGCCTCCTGCTGATTGGCTGATGCGGCGTCTCTCGCTCGCACGATGAAATGCTACCAAAGGATCTATATGTTCTTCCCCTATAGATTCTATAGTTTCTTTGGCTACAACAACCTTCTATAAATCCAGTTAATGGAAAACAGTGCACCTTGTAAAAGTCTAGAGCTACTAATGTTGCTAGTTTCAAGAGTTGTATATCTTCATTAAGGAATATTTTAGCACCTGCTTCTTTAATTAATTTCACTAATCCCGTTGACTAATTTCTAATCATTACATTATACTATAATGAACAGCAATAAATATGACTTACTTTTTTGACCAAGCAGTTGTGGGCCACAGTACTTAATGCCATTGATGCGCAAGTAGTCGTTTTCACAAAGAGAATTTTCGGCCTGAAGTCCGAATTCCAGGAATTGGAACGCTATACGACAGCGATCCGGCAGAGCTGTAAAGCGGTATATGCATGTTCGAGGTCCTGGATAGGGTTCCGGAAATCCAGGACTCTGGAAAGTTCCACTGGCATTGGTAAATGAAACGTCGCAGCTACCTGAAAAGAATATACATTTTAATTAAAAAAATACAAGGTAATTATAGTAAAGAATCTCATTTCAGTGTCACGTCAATTTCTAATGATCATAATGTAAACAATCTTACTTAACTTACTGGTTTCAGTACTGCGCAATGTGACGCCTTAGCTTCCTTACAGGAGTGCTGCAAAATGTTTCATTATTTTCACTGAAGTGGTGTTTAGCCAACATGGTTTTAGAACAGAAATATATATGTGTGCCGGCGATCTGACCGATATCTTGATGAAAGAATGCAAAAACTGTAAACTGTTTATAAAAAACAATTATCATAGATTACTAATTGGTTTGAAAAGTTAGTACTAAACTAGTGGTTCCCAACCTTTTTGTCGCTAAGATCTAGATAAGTCTAGAATAAGTGCTGGATGGCAAGTACTATTTAAGTTTTTAAGATGAATTTATAGTTGGATAGAGTTAATAATACATGCACATAAAAAAAAAAAAAAAAAAAAAAAGATCGGCCGCATTTCGCTTTGTGCTGGTATCTCTGTTGGACGCAATTTCTATTTCATTAAAAATGAGAAAACTTTCACATAGAATTTTATTGAAAACTAAAACATTTTTATTGTGATCACACAGAGCATGCGAGCACACGAGGATGGTGCCCCCGGGAATAAAGTTGGGAACCTCTGTACTGAACTATCGAGCAATAAATATTCAGTGGCATGGAGCGGACTGACTATAAGATAATGATAAAGGACGAATATCCTTTGTTAAGTTATAAAGCTTAATAGATGTTTACTACATTTGCGATATCATTTTCGTGCAAATTTATGTTTTTGGCTGTCACTGTGATAAAAACAAGTATTTTGAGAAAATCAAAATCAGAAACGATCGTGTCCAGTTCAAATAATAGCTTCAGTCGAAAGATTTACAGAGAAAAAATAGGCATACCCGTCTTACTCATTGCAGTTTATTTATTTATTGGCATAATTGTTCAAAATATATATATATATAAAACTATTTACATAAATAAGATTTTTGCGTTGTTTTCTTCCTTCACGTTCGTATGGGGTTCGTGTGGATTTGGAGTGAATAACGACGACAAGCACTTAATGGAATATCGAAACACACTTTATTTACCAATATTAATCAGGACATCCCCAAAGTCACTTTTTACAGTCGTCGAAGATCCACTATAAACACGCTGACTCAATCAGCGATACAGCCTTCACTCTGTCAGGCAATAACGGTGGAGACAGCTTCACTGCAAAGCAGAGTACTGCTCCCGACTCTGCTCGGCCGTTCTCGGAACTCCACTTACTCTCGAGACTCACCACTCGATGACCAATCGCGATGCACTCGATGACACACAGAGTACAGCTCCCGACTCTTCGGTTCAGTAGTTCCCGGAGCTTAACACATTCTCTCGACGATGTCCTAACCGCGATATACTAAGAGACTCTTCGATGTACTTGACGACCCACTCGGCACTCGCCGGTCGGCTGTCAACTCGATCGACTCCACTCGGACTGACTAACTCGGGACTAACTATCTCACACTTGACGGGCAGACACTAACTCGCACTGCGGACTAGCAGGGTGACTTTCGGCTTGTGTTCGAGAACATTCTGGGGCTAAACCGGTAAGAATTCGTTCCAGAAGGTTCTCCATCCGTCCATGGCATATCACCAATTTTGTCGCCAAATGGGCGATTTTTCGCCAAATGTGGCAACTTTGCCTTCCTTGCTATTTTATGGCAACCCTGAAACTGCTTTGCGGGGAAGTCATCTTACCGCGCCTGTACATTTCGTAACAATATATTAATCAGAAATATGTCTTTTTTTTAAGTTTTTTAACTTTATTAATCTAATTTCATCAGTTATTAGGTAGGCTCATGTTTCCACCGTAGGCTTCATTAACAGATTCTGATATAACAAGAGTACCATAGACCGAACATCTCCTCGAACCATGAACTTATCGTTACCAATGCAATGCAACTAGCATTTTGTGAGTCCATAGGATTGGCATAATCTATGGATTGATACAATATAATGAACTTCTTTTCTGCTGTTTATTTCAGGATAGCCAGTATACTAATCATTATAGCAAGAATAGTCCACTTAATTGGAAAGGTTTTTTAAAGGAAATTCTGATTAATGCGAGTTTCAAAATGAGTTTCTCGTTTGTAATTTGATTTCATAAGATGAAAGTCAAATTCAAATTCGCAATTTCATAAACAGCGTTTAAATAATCTGAGTGTAAACCAATATAATTTTCCTGCTGCTTTTATAAAAATGCATTATGCTACAGGCAAAATTACAGAATGTTTTGCAGAAACTGTCATAAACATATGAAAACAAAATGGAACACAATGATTTGCAGCAGAACATAGAGTCATATTTTAGCATATTTTGTTTTATGTATAATTAAAATTTGTTCAAATCGAAAGCAGATACTTTTAAATTTATTGAAAACTGCCTAGAGGGAGAAAGTGTGAAATATTCAATCTAATAAGTGATATTTCACAAGTTTACATGAAAAGGAAAAGGAAGATAAAAGTTGTAATAACAATTTTTACATTTTAAAAATAAAGTTTCATTTGCAGAAATACAGTAATGTCTACTTAAAAGTTAATACTTACTTTTAATTGTTTATATAAATATACAATGATTAAACTGTTTATGTTAAATGTACAATAATTAATATAATCGAAATTTTGAACCAGTAGTAAAATTTCAGGGCTACAAAATGAATAATATGTTGTATAAAAAATTATAATCTGCTTTATTTTCAATCAATTTTAAATTTATTAGTTTAGAAAATTATTAGTATTTTAGGTGGGAAACTCAGTAATTTATTATCCTTTCGAATGAATACAGGACTAGGGTTTTATGTATATTAACCTCTTATTATTTTGACAGCACTATCATTTGTACTTTCACCGGCTTGCACTAGGCTATAAATTAATAACGTATATAAGAACAGAATTATTGTAGTTAAGAGAGAGCTTTCGACAGCGATCGTTCATTGTCCCGCTAGTAATTTCGTCCATCTTCATCTTGAGTTGTTTTAAATTTAGTCTTTGCTTGTGCGAGTCAAGAGCTTGAGCCAAAACTTATAAGCGCAACTGATCTTGTGATTTTTCATATTTAAAAATATTTATGTTTTATTTTAATATTTGTGTTCTGTTAAACCCGCAAGTAGCGGAGCCTTCTGTTACTACACAAGCTATGTAAAGTTGTTAAACTAAAAATCTAACAAAAAGGCTTGCTTGAGCCTTCGCCGAGTTAGAGTTACTTTACTGGAAGATCTAGAATGGGGCCATAAATCGCCTGGTTACATCTACGGATCCGGAATGTGACATTTAAGCAGTTAGATTCCTTACGTGAGTATCAAAACGTGAATATATGTAGTTAAATATCCTAAAATTAATGAATAAAAGTGGTCAAACCTTTCTTTATTTGAACAACGCCAACTTTCACTAACACTGCAGGTATTTTCATTTCTCATCGAATTACCTCCCAATTTCACCTCCCAATTACGCGCTGAGCGTGCAGACCACTACACTACAAAGGCTCGCCAAGAAGGCGGGAGAAATACCTTATATACTTTCCCTTTTAAAAGGCGATTGAGGTTTTTAGGGGACCCAATCGCCAAATCCTGGGTGAGGAAAATCATCATCCAACCCCTTTTAGTTCGTGTGCCACTGTAGAGACATTAAGTATTTTTGGAAGCATGCAAGCTGAAAAATCAGCAACGCCCTCACCGGGAATCGAACCCCGGTCCTCTCAATTACGCGCTGAGCATGCAGACAACTACACCACGAAGGCTCGCCTAGAAGGCGGGAGAAATACCTTAATACCTTACCTAGATCTAAAGCGTTTCTTTAACTCAACATCCGATACTTACCAAGTTGGGAGTGGCTAATTTAAAAGTTCATCACTGTATCACGCAAATCATTACAGGGCGCTTAGATGATGTTCATTACAAAGAAGGGCACAAGCAAAAAAACGAAGTTTGGTACAGCGCCAGTCGATTTCTGCGTAGCCATCAGCCTCACAAGCGACGTATCCTCTGAGAATCCATTTTTTACGTATAAACTGAAGTTAGTAAAGACATATAGAAGAAATTCTTTTTTATCACCTGCTCAGAATCGAAACGTTATTTACTCTCAATAGAGCTTTCTGAAATGGACCCTTTTGAGAAACTAATTGAGCCTCAAGGTCACTGGTTATTTCACTGGTTATTGAGATCACTGGTAATTTCTGTACTAAAAAATTTCAAAAATCTAAAGTAGTGATAATTTGAATAGTTTGTCATTTTTAGTTCTAGGGTAGTACCAGTCAAAGCTTTTATATTTCATATTCTTTTCTTGTACCTGGCAGGCCCACCAGCGGCAGAGCGGTAACGTCGCTGAACACTGGTAGCCCAAGTCCACCAAGAACACCAAGTCCGAGGTTCGAATCCCGCGAACGGGCTGGCTGCATGGGTGTTTTCGTGGTTTTCCCCATGTGTAAAGTGTATACGAGCCAGTTTCCCTTAGAAAGTCCTCCACGAAGGCATCCCTCCCCTTAGGCAGATAGCCCTAGTGTGCTTTGCCATAATTAAATACACCACACCAAACACACACACACCATTTCTCATCGTAATTTCTCTTGCCATTTTGTAATCTACTCGTATATATCAAAGGAACTTGGTATACAGGGTTCATAGCCACATTTTAGTGAAAAAAATAAGCACCTATAAGCACTTTTCAAGCACATTTTAAGAAAAAAAAAAAATAAGCACCTGTCTAATTGCATTATACACAACTGCATAACCTTAAAAATTAGACTTATAATTTAAAATATGAGAAATGCAGTATTTATTAAGAGAGAATAAGCATTACCTCAACCATGGAAAATAATTACTTTTTTTTTTTTTAAATTTTAAATAACAGTTCAATTTACAGAACTAGTTTACAATGAGAGGGAAAAAACTATGCAGAACTAAACTATATTACAAGATTTAATGATGAAATTTCAGTTCAAAATAGAGAAAATAAATAATAATAAGGCCATACTTATTGTATTCACTTGGAACCTAATAATAAATACAATTTATTTTTCCACTCATATTGATATTTAAATAATTTAAATCTAAATTCTGAACATTTTCTAAATTTTCATTGTCTATCAGTTTTCCCTTAACAGATATTGCAAACAAAGAAATTTAAGTAAAAAAGAGGAACATTTCTGAAATCAGAAGACAGAAATATACTTCATGCAGTCCTCCTTTAACAGTAAAAGCTTAACTAACCCGCATACTTGGCATACGTAATTATAAACATTCATACATATGCTCATAATATAAGCATAACGATCATAATAAACACGAATATGAACTGACCAAGCGGACCGAGAATGCAAATTATTAAGATCTTGATAGAAATTCAAACGTGTGTAGTATTTGGGTAGGAGGAAAAGAATGCCGAATGTACCGGAATTTTCTACTGCTTTCGCATTTCTTTGACCAATAGAACGACGGGCACCTGTCTGTACTCTTCGTGCACACCAAAGGTTATGTTAATGCAGAAAAAGGGGAAAAGCTATTTCCGGGAGTATGATTCACCATCTGACATTCCATATTAGGAAGAAAAGTTGTTTATTTAGTTTCGGCTTTGGTACCGAAAAAAACAGCGCGTTCATAAAAAAAAAAAAAAAAAAAAATTGAAAGCGAAAATAATCATTAAAAACAACAAAAATAAGGGCTTTAAAGAAAAAGTAAGCACCTATAAGGGCCTTTATATTTTATTTTCAAATATAAGGACTTATAAGCACTTATAAGGACCGCTACGAACCCTGGTATATATACCAAGTAACTACACTTTAATGATCTTGTGTTGAAATTATAGCACTCCCTATTTGTATATCTTTAATTTGAGCCTTTTTTAAATAATCGCATCCCTCCATAAAGGTATGCGAAATATTTTAGCTTGTGCAATGTGCTCTAATAGTATCTCTTAGTTATGCACACTAATAATACGAAAACGGCTCGAATTTCTATAAAATTTCGAATGGATATTATGTGTTATAAGCGGCTAGCCATCTATATGAGATTTAAATCGATACTAGAATTCTATTATGACGATTAGGTTTACTGGCAAACTAGTGTAGCATTCATATGTGATATCCATGAAAGGTGTTTTTTAGGCCCTTCCCCTAAAAAAGAAAGAATACAGTCCTCTTAGCAGCATCTTGCATTATTTAAGTAACTATAGTTAAATTACTCTATTTAGAAATTTCAGCAGTTGTTCTAATCAACAGATTTTAATCATATTATATATGCTGATGCTTGATCGTTACCACATATACTCGATCATACTGAGATCAGTACAATACAGATTACACATACTCTATCGTACTGAAATAGGTACTACTACGATAAACATATTACTTCGGTATACACACTACATCTAAGGTATACTTACTACGGTACACGTACTACTGAGTTCAAGCAAAAGAGAATTCTGAAAAATTAAAAAAAAAAAAAAAAAAAAAAAAAAAAATTCAAATTTTTGCAAAGGAGATGCGATGTGAAAATGTGGCATTACGAGGATTGCAGAACAGATATATAAAGCCTTAAACTAGAATGACAGAATTTAATTTTTAAAATTACGTGTTAAGAGTAAGAGCCATTATGTGCTTCGTGTCTCAACTATTTGTTGAAACCATATCACAGTGTTATCAACAACCATGCGAAGAATTTCAGAGAGAATATGAAAGACATACTGCACTATACCGGCTTCAGCTAAGACAAAGCGTGAGCACTTCCCTGGTAAACGCATTCTTTCAAAAATTCTTAAAACTAGAACTAACAGTAGCTGAAGTCTGGGAAGTCTCTGGAGATGACGTGAACATGTTGGCACGAATAACTTCTCTCTTATACAATAACCCAATTCGAATTACATTAAGAATAGTGTCCTAATAATCTCGTTCCTGTAAAGCCTATTGTAACATGTACTGGTAACTATATTTTTCATAAGCGTCATCTTCCAAAAGAAAAAGAAACTTAAAATGAAATCATAGGGAATTCATATCATGAGTAATATAATCACAATGCAAAGGATTTTATTAAACACTTGAGAAGACGAGCTCCATATGATACATTTCTGAATATTGAACACTCCTTATAATGAAAATGTGCGTCATCTCTTCAAAGAATATTCCAAGCTCACATGACCATTCCCTTAATTTCTCGTCAAAAATCGGACAGCAGAATCTTGAATCAACATAGCATTATTTTGACTTTTTAAGGATACCACATCAAAATGGACCAAAAATCTCATACACAAATAAATCAAGGAAGGATGAGGTTGCTCGAACATTTACTGAAGAATTTGTAGCTAGGACAGTTCTATTAGTATTTACCGACAACCATTTATGTCGGAATACACCACATTCGAGGGCAACATTATGTCAGAATACACCACATTCGAGGAATACACCTTCTACTTCTTGATGACATACCGAGACCGTCCGTCTTCAAATTTTCTAATCGGATTTTCGATATGGCTCTTTACTTGAAACTTTCACGAGAGAATATTATTGGAGGCAGCTGGAGTAGTCTTCCAATTACAATAAAATAGTTTCTTACCTCAAAACGCTCTTGCTCTTTTATAAAAAGGTAGAACGATCAAGGCAGGATCGTTTCGCAAAAGCAAACCTTAGTTTCTTACAGCGAAATCATATTCTTTCCTAATTTGTATAACATTTCTCAAAGGCACCATCCGATAACGAAACATTGAGCATTTTCATTCCCTTTAGGAATCTTTCCTGTGGATTGAATGACATACGTACCCCGTTGTATGAAGCTCTATTTAACCAATAGAGCCATTAGCAGCATCCGAACGAGTTCCTGAAAGCTCAGGGTTACGTTAATTAAAACAAATATACATTACCTTTTTTACTGTTTCCATAACTTACCGATTATGGATGGGGGTGACACTTGGTCAGTCAAAGGAGCGCAGTCCATTTGTTGCCCTCGAATGTGGAATCCTGGCCTCGACGTAGCTCCATCGGAATGAAACTCTAAGATCAGTTCATTACCTTCAAAGGGAATGATTCCTAAAGACAAAATAGGAGACATTTTTACATAATTTAAGGATCTAGTAATTTATAAAAATTTATAATTTAAACATATAAGATGAAATATCTTCAACATACGCAGATCCTGTTACAAAAGAGATGTTAAGAGCATGTATTAAGATATAATTTATTTATGACAATTTTTAATTATACCGGGGTAAAAAATAAGCCATCTTGAACGATATGATGTTTAACGAAGGCTGCCTGCCAGACCAAATTACAGATTAGGCTACCTTTTAACACTTGCTTGTTTACGTATATTTCGGCAGCTTTCATAACACAATAAAATCAGATCCTCATTTGATATTTATTTTTCTCTGCGTCAAATAGTAGTTATCAAAATGTTTTTATTAACACATTCGTAAACATAAGCTATGTAATCTGATAAAAATTATGGCTTCATGGCACCTCACAATTTAAATGGCGTTAGGAGCCGTTCATTATTCTTTCTAACATATTACCAGTGACTCTGGTGACAACTTTAATGCGGTCCTTCACCTCGAACGTCAATGCAAAATAAGCACAACATGTTTGGGAAATGTTTTGCTTGAGGGATCTACATAAAGAACTATAAAATCGTAAATCTTGTTATTCTATAAAATGAAGCTGTGAAGGCGGAACTACAGAATCATTTTTCTTGAATTAAGTGTCAGAACAAAAAAGCAATACTTAGTCCCCCCCAACTGTCCAAACTGAATAAACAAACAAACTAAAAAAAATTCAGTTTATAAGCAAAATGCTAGTTAATCTGACTCGTAGCGAAGCATAACCTCCATATTTTTTCGTTGTTTTCGTAGATCCGGATTAGACATTTACATGAGACATAAGACATTTACAATAAAGATAATATAATAGATTGTAATAGATTGATCAGAATTAAGATAAGAATTGAAGTTATTAATATTGTTACTTACTTTTCAAATTCGCAGGATAAATACCACACAGTTTCTCTTCCTGTAGTTTCAGATAATCGTATTGGCAACCATCGCTGGCCTCTACATCAAAGCTGAGAAAGTTCAGCTCAAGTGCACAAACTCCTGCATGCGCACGGGCCACCGTATACGTGCATCGTAAGTGAGGATCGTAATTGTTTGGATGGTTGTCACTCATGATTTCAAAAACGGCAGATGAAAAGTGCATGTCACATGGCTTGGACGGCGGTAAGGGTGGATCTGTTGTCACTGGTGAACAGTCCACTTGCTGAACACGAATCATGAAGCCAGGCCGAGAGGTACCAGAGTCTGAGTGGAAAGTCAGCTGCTTCTCGTAATCCTGAAATAAATAGGTTCCTGGAACAAAGGAGTAAATAGAGTAAGAAATAGCCAGAAGAAATTGAAATATACATGAATCAGTGTTAACGTGAATAAAATGTCAGTTTCTTTCATGAGAAATACATAAATGAAGCAGGTTAACCAAAGGCGTAGTGCTAACAGAATTTTTAATTTCCGTTAAAGTAACAATTTGAGATAAATTTAAAAATTTTAGCTTTTTAAATCTAGATATGATGCTCCAATGAAGAGATCTAACACGAATATATCTTATTTCTGTTGAAATACGATAACGGAATTTTTTTGCAATTACAATACTTACTTTACTTCGCACAAGGAAGTAAAAAGTGATATTTGGAACCCAATTCATCAGATTATGAATTTGTAGCTAATGTTAACATAATTTATTTCATTTCTTCACATCAGTTCGCTTTGATGTAGCCTTAGGCAAAGTGATATTTACCCTTATAGAAAATTGTATTTTATTTTATGTAAGCAACAACTTAATTCAGGGATCTTCCGTTTAGGATCCAAGTACTTGCAATAGGTACTTAGGAGTCTTTATAGAGATCTTTAATATGTATTGCATTTGGATCTTTATCTAGATTGGCCATCTCTATTGGCATAGTTATTCATATTACAGTACAAAGTCCGAAATCCGGACGTCCATTATCCGGAATGATCTAAAATCCGGACCTCAAAACCACCAACAACGTTTTTTTATTAATATTTTATATTAGAACCGCTTTTCTCTCGAATTTACTGTAATGCACTTCAGTTCAAATTTCTAAGTTTAAAAAAAGGATTAGTCTCTTATATGATAAAACACTAATTTTTGCATTTAGAAATTCAAACTGAATAATGAACGTACCACTCAAACTTTCAGTTTAATTCTGCTTCGTTAAAGCATTTATTAATTTTTCAAGTTTTCTCAAGTTTCCAAATAGTTATTCAGACTAATAACGGACGGTCAGTCCGTTATTAGTCTGAATATCAAATGTGTATGGCAATCGCAATTAAGGCCTCTAAACAATGACAGTGTTCTGTGAGCCTCCGCAAGTTTAACCGGCTGATTGTGCGGATTTCGTCACATGAGCATACATTTAGTTAGTGCCGTTTAAAGGTGTTATTGCGAAGGCATATTTTATAATGTTGACAAGTTCCGTGAGCTTTATTATATTTAAATATTTTTCGAGCTATATATACCAAATCTGAAAGGAAAATTTATGCCACTGGTCTAACGGAAGATACCAAATGAAAAATATTTAAAACTCATCCTGTATTTCAAATAAAGTTCAACTTCGGCCAGGTTTTTCTCAGCCTTTTCACTGCAGTTAAAAGGCTAAAACCCGTTTTAAAATGCCAACTGCTTTCAGTACTAATTTTTTTTGTAATATTTTTCTCCTTACCTGATTTTATTGAAGGATTTTTGTAGATATAAAACCCCTCAAATAAACACATATATTTTTACAATAAAAGTAGCCTCATTTATTACTATAAACTTTTTACGAATAAAATGCACAGAAATTCCCAAAACTTGAAATCAGATTAATAACACCAAATTCAGAATACTTTTATTTATAATAACAAAAGAAAGCTATATTAAGACTTATAAGAATAGCATCTTATTAGTTGTTGCCATATTTTCACTTTATTTAGTTTCAAAATTGGACTATAAAAATGCTCATATTTTTTTAGGATTGTACACAAGGAAAATTCCTTTAAAATAGTTATTTCAGCAGAAAGGTTTGACAGGCAACGTTTAGATGATTTCACACTTCTTGCATAGCAGTCTTCCGGCACACAAGTTCGACAATGTATTGAAGATTTTCCGATTTAGCCAAAAATATTCATTACGATGCTCTAAACATTGTCAGAGGTAAGGCATCGTTATAAAGGTTTTTTGCTCTCGCACATAGTGGAAAATCCCGATTAAGGTGCCACATTTTTTTACGAAAGTACTATTCTTAGTAAAGCAATCTTAGTTTAAATTAACGAAATCAAGACTAATTTCACTTCAAATTAATTATTGATTTCTCATATCACCTATTTTAAAATTCCTCAGCAGGCTATTTGATGGCTAGAACAGCAACTAAAAGATATTTTAAGTACTTACATCACATAACTAAAATATAAAAATAATTCAAACCATAATGACTCTCTTTCTAAATTTATTTTCATTTAATTAGTAATTTATACACTGTTCTTTTTAATTTTGAATGATTTAGCATCATAGAAATATAACCATGAAGGACAGAAAGTTGAAGGGATTAGCTTGTAAGGCATATTTTCTCCCTCCCTTCCGCATGCTTCCGTGGTGCAATTGGAAGCATGCTCGACGCGTATTCGAGAGGTCCAGAGTTCGAATCCCAAAAACTTTTACAACAAAGTCAGGTCAGTGGTTATCTCAGGCGGCGCTCAGTGAGAGCACTGCACATTTTTCAAGTCCTTGCTTTAAAAAAAAAAAAAAAAAAAACTGATGATTGTGCAAATTTTTTAGCAAAAATTTCGAATACCTTACTATTATTTATTATTGCATGAGATAGATGAAATTGTCACTCATAAATCATTACCTGCCGCCTAACCCATTTAGAAGCTCGATATTGTTACTTAATGTGTAATTTTAAACATTGCAAGTCTCAATTACACTAATAAATTTAAAGTAGAATTATGTTTTTCATTATTATATCGTTGACGCAAGGCTGTTACTCACGTGTTGAATTCTCAATTTGACCACAGATCTTCTCCCCGTTGATAGCTAGGTAATCGTACTCGCAGTTGCTACTAGATTCCACATCAAAGCGTAGGAAATCCATTTCCAGGCGGCACACATCTTCGCTACTCCGTCGAATAATATATCTGGAAAGACCGATATACTGTAAATTAATCAATCAACGATTAACTATTATAAGGACGGAAATTTTAATTGGAAGAATTTAGCAATTATACCGACATAGCGAATATTAATATCAGCATTTAATGGAACAATTTAAAATGGTTCATAAGATGAGTGAATTTCAATAATTTGTAGTTTTAAGTTTATAAATATTTAATTTGAATAGACTTTTAATTTTTTTTCTATGATATATAGTGAAAATGGGATTTTTGTACATTTTATATGGGATTCTTTATTCAAATTTCTATTCTTATCCTTTTTTTTTTTTGTAAACAAAAACACAGCAGGCAGAACAGAAATCTAAATACCTGGATCTTTGTAAATGTACAACTTTCGAAAGTTAAACAATTCCAAAAAACTAGGTTATCCTTCTCTGCAGGTTAAATAAGCATTTAAAGCACTTTACGGCAGGAAATTTTATTTTATTTTATTTATTTATTTATTTTTGTTTTTGTTTTTGTTTTTCAAACTTTACAGCAAAGGCTATGCAGTTGGAAAAAGTAAAATACTTTTATTCACGCAAAACAAAATATAAAACATACTTTTTTAAACAAAATTAATTAATGAGCTTACTTTTCATTTGCCTAAACACAAAACGTTTTCAACTAAAATTAACCAATTACATTAATTTTCATTCACGTGGGCCTTAAAACCAAACTTCCGATCTTATTTTTATTGCGCTTCTTTGTTTAATTAAATACAATAAAGCTCAGAAGAGTTATCAGCCTGGGAAAAGAGGTGCCTTTATATAGGGCTTTTTAAGGGAAGTTATTTCATATTTACCATGTACATTAAAAAAAGTCACTGAAACCATAACGCAGTCATTCCATTAGCCAATGTATTTTTAATGACCCAATTTACTAGCAATCAGACAGCAGTAGCGGACCTACCCCTTAGGCCACTGATTGCGTATTTTGTTGAAATTAAATAAAGAATTTTTTTATCAGGTACTACAAATAAGTCTCCGCCGTATTTTTTATCAAAAACTATGCATTTATTGTAAAAGAACGAATCGTATATTATGTTTGATTCAAAGAACTGTCCATGGCTAGCCACTACTTTTTCCCATCTTTCTGGCAGCATACGATTAACGCGTCGAAAGAACACTTCATCTTTCGAGGATATCCACAAATCAACCCAATTTATGGTATCCTCGTATAACGTGAAGCGCTGCTCAGACAGGCCATACGTCAGCAATCAAAACACGTAATAATCAGCAGGAGCAATGTCCGGTGAATATAGTGGGAGGGAGGAAACTTCTCATGTGAATTATCAAGTTTGATCTTCGCTCCAACATGCGGATGAGCATTATTATGTAGGAGAATAATTATGTCACGTCTTGCATTTTTCTTTGAGTGCTCAGCTCAGTCACATCAGCTTGTTTCGTAGGGAGCTCCAGTATTGGTTTCGTTCGGTTTTAGCAACTCATAACGCATAAAACACCAAGTTGATCCTACTTTATACACAACATGATATTTTTTCCATGAATATTCGGCTTGGCAGTCGATGCTCAAGCCAAGTGGTCCCCATGACTTCGTCTTCTTTTGGGGTATCCATCCTAGTGGATCCATTTTGCATCACCAGTGACTATATGATGCAAAACACCCTTTCATTTGTGGCTGGCAAGCAGCATTTCGTGTATAAGAAATCAGGGTTCAACGTTTCTCGGCTTCAGTTCATACCCAATTCCCTTGCTTCTGAACCATTTCCAATGATTTTGGACGATATAACATTGCATGTTGAGTCATATAACATTGTATGTTTAGTCACTTCTAATGTAAGTGCAAGTTCTACTTGCGCTTGGCACGAATCTTCATCCAATAGTGCTTTAGTTTCCGCGTCTTCATACATTTTCATCCTTTCGTTCCGTTCTTTGTCTTCGACGTCAAATTTACTGTTCTTAAACTTTTGAAATCACTCAGGACAATTTCTCTCCCTTATGCAGCCCCACTCTACGCTTCTACAAGCAATCGATGAACAAGAGCTACAGATTTCTTCAAATTAAAGAGGTAAAGCAAAATTTCCACAAATGACGCTCTTTCGGCTCAAAAACTCGACATTTTCGCACGAAAAATAATAGATGATTTTGGGACAATATTGGTAATATTTCAAGGTTATGCTGTTAGTAGATGCCCAGCCTTATGATAGGCCGTTTTACATCAGATGATTTTAACCATAACTTAACTGGTGGCGCCATTTTTTCAAACTCCCAATATAACTGCTTAAAAGGACACATATAACTTATTTATGTTCAACTGAAATCTTCATATTATTAAACCTTTTATTTCCATACTGAATTATCTTTTCTGTTATTCAAATCAACAAACAGTTTTAAAATACGTAAGTATAACAATAAAAAGCTTATTTTTTCTTGATATAAAAAGATAAAACAGCAGTCCGAATAATTAAATTTCTATTGTATTATATAAAAAATGTTATTATTTTACATTTTAGTATTACGAATTTTGTTTTTATAATAAAATTATAATCTTTTTAACGGCACTAGAGATTTTTTCTGTTAACATTTAAAACCCCTTTATGGCAAAATAAAATTCATAGACATGATTTTCTAAACACACCCGAGCACAAAGAGTTTCTAAAATGTTTCCATTCGGAAAAGCATAATTTGCCTTATCAATATCTTTTTTATAGCATAATCAATTTAATTTACCTTTAAGTGTATTTAATTTAAATATAATTAATTTAAGCATAATCAATTTAGTGTACCTTTTACGTATAATCAATCTATTATTATCTGTCAATCATAGATGAACTGGAGATTTCAAAACATTAAATGTATTTCTTAAGAGTTTAAATCTTTATTTTTTAATAATGTATGTAACTAATATAACATAAAATACATTTCATTTATTATATATCTAACTGATAATTTTCATGAAAATTCTAAGCTTCGTTGTAGTGAAAATAAGTTTTCTTTTAATTTGTCTATATGACATGCAACTGGCACACACTTTTTACATTTTTTACAATGTTTTACAATTTTTATATTTTAAATACTTTAAAAAATTTTAATGTGAAGCTTTTTTATGTTAGACTGCAATCGTAAATTCTCAAATTTTAAGAAAATTCAAATGTCTGAGAAATATATTTAGGCATTCCAAATTCTAAAAAAAGGAAATAGATTTCAAAATTTTCTCCTGTCAGGTATAAGGCTAGATTAGGTTATTTAATTACGCAAAGCCTCGAGAGCTATCTGCCTAAGGGAAGGGATGCCTTCGTGGAGGACCTTCTAAACTTTTTAAGGGAAACTGGCTCCTATACACGTTACACATGGGGAAAACCACGAAAACACCCATGCAGCCAGCCCGTTCGCGAGATCTTCGACCGAACTACCAGTGTTCAGCTACTTTACCACTCGGCCGCTGGTGCGCCTGCCAGGTACAAGGAAAGAATATGAAATATAAAAGCTTTGACTGGTACTACCTAGAACTAAAAATGACAAACTATTCAAATTATCACTGCTTTAGATTTCTGAAATTTTTTAGTACAGAAATTACCAGAGATCTCAATAACCAGTGGAATTACCAGTGACCTTGAGGCTCAATTAGTTTCTCAAAAGGGTCCATTTTTCAGAAAAGCTCTATTGAGAATAAATAAATCGTTTCGATTCTGAGCAGGTGATAAAAAAACGAATTTTACTTCTATATGTATTTACTAACTTCATAGTTTTATACGTTAAAAAATGTATTCTCAGAGGATACGTCAGCTTGTGAAGGCTGATGGCTACGCAGAAATCGACTGACCGCTGTACCAAACTTCGTTTTGTTTGCTTGCCTGCCCCATTCTTTGTAATGCAACATCATCTAAGCCCCCTGTAATGCATTTTGAGTGATACAGTGATGAACTTTTAAAATTATTGCTCAGCGCCCAAATTGGTAAGTATCGGATGTTGGAGTTAAAGAAACGCTTTAGATCTAGGTAATCCTGCCCCATTCTTTGTAATGCAACATCATCTAAGCCCCCTGTAATGCATTTTGAGTGATACAGTGATGAACTTTTAAAATTATTGCTCAGCTCCCAAATTGGTAAGTATCGGATGTTGGAGTTAAAGAAACGCTTTAGATCTAGGTAAGGTATTAAGGTATTTCTCCCGCCTTCTTGGCGAGCCTTCGTGGTGTAGTTGTCTGCACGCTCAGCGCGTAATTGAGAGGACCGAGGTTCGATTCCCGGTGAGGGCGTTGCTGATTTTTCAGCTTGCTTGCTCCCAAAAATACCTAATGTCTCTACAGTGGCACCCGAACTAAAAGGGGTTGGATGATGATTTTCCTCACCCAGGATTGGGTCCCCTAAAAACCTCAATCGCCTTTTAAAAGGGGAAGTATATAAGATATTTCTCCCGCCTTCTTGGCGAGCTTTCGTAGTGTAGTGGTCTGCACGCTCAGCGCGTAATTGGGAGGTCCGCACTTCGATTCCCGGTGAGGGCGTTGCCGATTTTTCATCTTGCCTGCTTCCAAAAATACCTAATATCTCTACAGTTTCTAAAACTGTACATCTATAAAGACGGCTCAACTGAGGAAAAACACATTTTTTTCGCAGATCTTGCAGAAGTATTAACCTGCCACTTTTTTACGTTCTTTAAAATTTTATTAAAAATATATCAATAAGCTTATAGTGTAATAAATGAGATGAGCAGAAAGACACTGCATTTATCATATATTTTTTAAAAGATGCGAACCGTTTTTCTTCTTCGACGTGTAGTAAAAAGTTAATAAAAATCTTCTACAGGAAAGACATTTAAGAAAATGTTACAAAATTACCATATATACTGCAAAAATATACAAACGAAAAAAAAAAGCCATTTATTGAAGAAGCGAATTACTGGCACAGAAAACATAAAAGAATTGAAGTAAAATTCATTCATAAAATTGGGAGTATTTTCATGGGCCCAGAATTTTTGAAGAAATCCAATTAATCAAGCTTTCTTTCTCATAATTTTGAAGAAAAATTTTGAAACAATGCTCAAAGCTCCAGCAATGTTCAGCAACGAATGGTTATTAAGTTTTTTTTTTCCTGAATGCAATTTCCTATTACTTATACATATAAGTTTAAAACTCATCGACTTTGACTGTTATATAATAAACTATTCTAATAACCGATGCTATCGATTCCCTAGAAGTTTTAGAGAAATTAGGTATTTAGGGGGCAAATTGTATATTTTATAAATAGACGAAAAGGTGCATCTTCCCCAACCATTAATAAAGTTTTATATCTAACTAAGATATTTCATCATCAACGAAATCTGATCTTACCTGCAGTTTACTCCGTTGTCGTAGTCCCGAGGATGATTTGGACTGACTAGAATGAATTCCTTGCTATCAAATACCTGATCACAGAATGAGGCTGCGGGAAGTGTGGTTGTCGTTGGACATTCTCTCTGTTTTAGCGTCACCTCAAAGCCCCGATCGTGAATCGTGCTGTCCGAGTGGAAATGAATGACAATCTGCTCCGACTTGAAGCTAAAAATGCCTTTGGGGGAAAAATATTAAAACTGCATATTTTTTACCAAAAATGTTTCTAAATAATCTTCCTAGTGATATTGCACATCATGACTCTTGAAAATAGCCCAAGACAAAATAGCACCGACATATAGCCAAACGCGAAATTTTTACGTGGGACAAAATACCCCACGTAAAAATAGCACATGATAAAATAGCTTACGATAAAACTATTGCATTTCACTAGCCCATGATAAGACTATTGCCTTCCCAATCAAAATAGCCCATGATAAAATATTTATTCCTAGATTCGGTTCTGAAAACTTATTTTGCCAATATTGACTTTTCATATCATTTGACAAACGTCATATCCAGCTTTAGCATCCAAAAATAAATTAAAATATTTTCTACATTTTACGTACTTTATTAAAATAAAAAGAAGACCAGTAAAAAACGACAAATCATTATGTATTGACACGCACATTTCAAGGTTTTTGCGATACTTATTTACTTTTCCCTGTAAAACAGGCAAACCTTTTAAAAGGTACAAACAAAGGTACTTAAAAATTGTAATTTAGAATACAGACCAGAGAATACCAAACTTGTATGCCGTGGTAATCTGTACGTAGAAATTATTACTGCGACACTCTACTTGAAAAATGGTTGTGAAACATTTCTCAATAAGATACATCTATCAGCTAGCATATGTAAATATGTGTGTACAACATCAAATTTGAAAGTGTATATTTTAAATAATGCATTTACGTGCAAGATGTAATTACTGATTTATACATAAGCCATGGTACTCTTTTATATTGCCTGCTAATATTTAGATACTAAACATTTAAAAAACTTTTCCTGGAATCTAGCTGAGAAGCCTTTGATTTGAGCCATTTTGCAGTGAGCTACTTATCATGGTCTGTTTTTTATGGGCTATTTTGTCGGAATTATTTTGCCATGGGCTGTTTTGCCGAGGTTTATATGTCAAAAGGAGGAAGGTTTGAATGATTTATTCTTACACTATTACTATTTATTCAGTCAATACATGAGGTTGATAGCTTGTCTTATTATTATATCGGTTTATTAAAATGTTAAAAATTACTGTCTCATGTAAATTTTACAAATCCAGCTTTCACTGTTGTCAGACTGCATTTATTTTGTTTATCTGGGGTTGTATTAATATACTTTTTAGTTTTCCTAAAATAATAAACTGAGCATTTTACATACATAAAAAATACTTTAAGAGTAAATATCAAAGGTAGAGAGTTGACTGCTGGTAAAACACACCGCGAGATCTTTGTAACTAAACTGATATTCACTTTAAATAGTGAAAAAAATTATTTATGGATCTGTATCCAATTTTGCTTTACTTTAGTCTAATAATGAATTGAAAACTCGATAATATTTATTTGGAAATGGGTAAAGCTAATTGTCTTTAGCATCAAAAGCTGTACCGCTTCATTGCAGCTTAATGATTTAGTCTAATAAGTTCAAGTGCAGATTCAATTATTCAAAACAATAATAATTTTATCTCTTTTTAGAACATAATAACTTTACACAATTTAATTTCTTCCAACATAGCAATATATACTTTTAAGTGGTTCTTCTTTCCCCTAAAATGTTTTCCTCATAAGCAGTTCTTAAGTACATAGAAACATCAGATTTTCAAATTCCCTTCCTCTTTGACGTTTATACTCTATCTTATTAGATTAACAATCTTATCTCAAATTCTACATAATGTTATTCTACTTAACGTTATTGAAGAATGAAACATATGACAATGATATTCGTAGCTATTCAAAGGGTCTTTGTTAATCTTCAGGAGGAGGAGGGGGAATAATAATTTGATTCATTTCAAGCAATATTTCAAACCAAATTAATACAGATTTTGTTGATTTCAAATGATTTTAGGACTGATGAATCTGGAAAACTTCATTTTGTCCTCAACACACCAACCAGCAAAAAAAGGTTTTACACCCTTTCTCTATAATCCTTACATCCCCTCCACTATCTGCTGAAAGGCGACTGAGGATTGAGGATAATACGCAACTTCTAGTCACCAATCCAATTGCTCATAAACTATCGTTGGCTATCTTTGATTCAAGAGCCACCGTAAGGATACTGAAGAGTTTGAGGAAACAGAATTTTAAAGCATTTATTGCATTGTCATTGGAATCGAACTAGATTTTCTTATTGCCTCACAGATATTCTGACCGTTACACCGCATAAGCACGTGGGAAGAATGCTTTTAATTTTTTACATCCCTTGCATTGACCACCGTCTTTTGGTTCAGACACCACTGTGCAGATATTACCAGATTTGGAGCGTAATTTCCTGAAACATTCGCTCTACGCTCTCTCAGCATCGAATCGGAAATCTTCAGAGTGTCAGAATGACACACAATGAAAGCACATCAAAGGTATATACTTTACGCTCTTCCCTGACCTCATTTTTTATCTTTAGCAAAATTAAGAAATAAAAGATTTTACATCTATTAAAAATAAGCCTAAATATGTAAAAAACGTTTGTTAATTTAATCTCAAAATGGAGTTAACTTTTTTTAAACCCCTAGAGTACATTAAAAAATTTTCAAAATCAAACAGCCAAAGAATAATTTATACAGTTCTATATTTCTGATTACAAGGGAATGCAATAGTTAACAAAAAGGACAAATTTAATAAAGCAATTTGACAGTTTAAACTTTTAGTGCAAAAATTAGACCTTAAGGGTCAAACTATTTGAACTCAATGAACATGATTAAAGGAAGACTCTTACTTAAAAACCTCAGACAGAAAACTGGCTCGTAAGTTAAAAGTAATATTTTTCATTAGCCAGTTATCGTTATTAAGGTAAACAAAGAATGTTTTGCAGTTATAAATCACTCTTAAACACCATCAACCATTTTGAATTTTAAACATATTTTTAACTAGTTTATGTTTTAATTCATGGAGAATTTATAAGATGTATGAAGTGTATTTTGTGTGTGTCGACATACTACATTGATAGAATAATATTAAAATATTACGTTAAAAAAACAAAATTTCGGGCCAAGAAAAGGAAATCGATAGACCTTTTGCTGCAAAATCATAACAGATCTTTTAATCGATCTTATAATTTTATTTATGCTAAAGTTAAACAAGAGATATTCTCTTTTAGTGGATTAGAAAACACTTTGTACTCATCAAAACCTATCAAATTAATTTAATTATTTACATCCATCATCATCATCACTCATCCTCCAAATTTTTACATTCAAATTGGTGTCTTTTAACTTACATGTTATAAAAGATTTCTAGTCTTCTGGGTAACGCTTTAGCTATTTCAGTGCAAAATGCCAGCTAGATATTAGCTTGTGATACAGTACGCAAAATTCATTTCTAAATTATTCTTATTCTCTAACATTCCATTTTACTTTATTGAGATATGAATGCTATCTTTTTCCTTCTGCAAAGTTTTACTTCAAAACAATTTACATCAGACCCACGGAAACATATGATACAAATCACTCATTTTTATGCTTTCCGTTCTTTGAAGTGTATTATAATAAAACTTTGAATTATGATCCATTTGTTTGAAAGCATATGAATGTGGTAAAAAATTATCAATTTACCCTGTTCGCATAGTCTAAGGCATGCAATTAAAATAATATTTTAGGGATACACAAAAATTTACGCATTAAAAAAGTAAGGAAGTGATAGTGGTTTCTAGTACCTCAACTGAAAGCACTTCGATTTAGTGGCTTGTAAGATGGCTATAGCATAAGTCCGAGGTCTAATGAAGAAAATGTTTCTCAAAACGCAAAATTAGAATACTCACGTTTATTTCCAGCTGTGGTACTGCCACAGAATCTATGGCCATCTACTTCTAAGTAGTCGAACTGACAGCTCTCCCCTACTTGAATATGCAGGCTGTGGATGGTAATCTCGAGCTCACAATATCGTGGATCCGCCCTGAAAATCATCCAGCGGCAGTCTACATCTGGTGGATAGGATTCTGGAAATCCAGGGCTGCGAATTGAATCCTCTGCTCCTGTAATGGTCCGATCACAATCCCAGGCGGCCTGCGCCTTCCGTTCTTGATCCGTGCTGTTACTTACTGAGTCATCGGTAGCGTTGCAATCTCTCTGTATTCCAGAAATATGGAATCCTTTATCCCCCACGGAACCATCCGTGTCAAAACTTAAAAGGATCTCTTCCGAATTTCCAAACGGATATGTCCCTGATACAGAAAAGAAGTAAGTTGTGGTATCTTTCGAAATAAAACATTAAAAAAATTTAATTGAACAAAAAGAAATTAAAAAAAACCTCACTACACTTTAGCATAATTCTGTCTTTTCAGTGGAAGATTTAGAAGAGTTAAAGTTAAAAACGAATTCAAGGAAAAGTAAACTGCATTTGCATTTTAGTGAGGATGCTTAATGATACAGTCAATCTTAGTGCTTTTAGTAGGTAAAAACTGTGAAATCTTCTGTAAAAATGATATCAGCTTTTAAAGAAAGGAGCTCAGATATTAACAAATTATTTTCAATTCTCTTAATCCTCCGTTCAGCTAAGCTCCGTTCAGCTGCCACTTAAAAGCTTTCATTCCAACTTAGGAGCAGTTAATTGAGCAAATAACTGGATTCTGATCAACTTAGAAACGGAGCTCAAAATTAAGACAGGAGCGATGACGATCTATAGACGTATTATAATATAGTGGAAAAAAGAAACAAGTTATTTGGTCGTTTCGAATAATAATTAACTTCCCATTTTTTAAACATTAACTAACTTTAGTACATAAATTTCAAAAAATATTATTTGTGTAAAATGTTTTTTTATTGATTTCTAAATCTCATCCGTTTTCGAGTGCAGTTTAGGATTAAGAATGAATTAAGAAGAAATATGAATGAACCTGCAGCCAAAACCGTTTTCTAACATTCGTTAGGCAATCGCATAACCTTTGCTTGCGGAATAAGATTTATTTATAGAAAACATGATGTTTTCACACTCACTTGTCATGCCACTGTCAATGTTTCCGCAAAGCCTTTCTTCCGCAATTTGGAGATAATCGTTTTCGCATACCTCTCCCTCTTGCAGACTGAAGTCGAGGATAGTCACGACAAGGTCACAGACGGATGGAGAAGCTTTCATCACCGTGTAGCGGCAGTTGAGATCGTCTGCGTATGCATCATTAGGATATCCTGGGCTTTTCAGATCGAACTGCAACTCCCTGATAGGAAACCAGATTGTCAATACCTTTCTTTCAAAATATTAAACTATTTAAAAAATTCCCACCGTAACGAATTCGAATGATAAAACGGTAATAATATCGAACAGCGGAATAGCGTTAAGATGAAGATACATAATGAATCATTCTCGGAAGTGAGATTTGTGAATGACAATTTCGATAAAGTATACATATTATTCCTTTTGTATAATATATGTAAATTTCAGCAATATTGTGTGTATATGTTACTGTTAAAGTTTGAAGATAACTGTTTGTCGAAATAACCTAACATTTACCAATATCGGATGGTGAAACATCTAGTACATTTTGTAGCTTTATATCAGAGCTTTTACCAATAGATGGTCGTTAAAGTCAAAATATACCAGTTAGTTGTGATAACTGTAACGATAGATATTACGGTATAATTCCATTTATCAAATCGTTTCCATTAACTTTGTTACAGTGAGTTATTTAAAAATCCTTATAGCCCAATTTATTTATAAATAAATAATAAGTTGCTTTTAAAATTGTGAAGTTTATTAAACGCTTGCAGTGAAGGGCTTGTTTGCTATGGAATAAAATGGTTATGGGATTTGAACGGCTATTGGGTTTTTTAATTCATTAAAATTTTACAAGCAGCAGTACTTATCTCATCGGAATTAAAGCAAACTTTCTGCTAACTGTGTGCATAAAAAGTGCGCAAAAGACTTAGATAGCCAGACTGTTAGTTTGGACAACTATTTAACAGTTTTCATAGGTAAGCTCGTAAATGTTATCATCTGTAAGTCTAATTTTACAAGCAGCAGTACTTTACAAGCGGCAGAAAGCAAAATTGCTGCGGAATGTGTGACTAAAAAATGCGCAGATGACTTATGTAGCCAGACTACCTCTTAGTTTGGGCAAATTTTTAACAGTTTGCATAGGTAAGCTCGTAAATGCCATCATCTGTGAGTCTGTAGCTTCAACAGTTTGCCTTTTTCGAACTTTTATATCCTAACATTGGTAAAGGATTCTAAGATTTACTGGATATCAACTTTCTATCGCACACATGCATAGAACATTTTTCAGCTACTTAAATCTGAATAATTTCCTAACAAATATAAACTATACAAATTATTTGTATTTAAAGAATCAAATTTATTTTATATTCATAAATTTTCGTTGACTATATGACGCTATGTATGATTTTGTTTAATGGTTTCGATAAAAATGTGGGGAAAAAATTACCGAATGCCATACACAAAAAATTGTCTAGCTTTGGACAGCTACAAAGTTCTCGGTATTATACTATTATCTCAGATAGTTTAATTAACTACATTCTTATTTCAAAATGCTTTTATTGTTTTGCAAATAAGCAAAACACTATTAAAACCTTCAACACTATGGGTGATAGTGTTCCATAAAAATAAAATCTAATATTCCCATACTGTCGGTGTACAGAAAAAAAAAATTGAATCTTTTTAAAACAGTAAAAATATGCATACTGTAAAAATAATCAACAATTTTAAAATCAAAATTTGATGATATCTCTCCGAATTTGGTGATAAAAATTAGTTGTCGCCATCGTCAGCTAGACGCTATCTAACGATAGCCATTACCTCAATGTTAAATGGACCTGCCCGCGTAATCTTATTTTTCCGGTGGAGTTTCAGCTCTTGAGGTATTTCATGTTATATTCATTATACAAGAGATACTACGATTTTACATAAAATTTCACTGAAATTTTTACATACATACAAAATTCATAACACTGGCTTCATAATTAGAATTGCAACTTTGCAAGTACTATATAGAATTTTCGATTTTATTGTGACAGAAATTTTTATCCGAAAAATTGAAGTTGTTTCCGTAATATTATTTACCTTATTTTGTAAGCTTTTTAATTTGTTAGTTTAGTTTACTTTATGTGATTACGGCTAAGTCTCGAGGGCTATCTGCCTAAGGGAAGGGATGCCTTTGTGGAGGACTTTTTAAGAGAAACTGCTTTGTATACACGCTACAGATGGGGAAAACAACGAAAAAGCCCATGCAGCCAGTTCGTTTGCGAAATTCGAATCTCGGACCGAACTACCAGTGTTCAGAGACTGGTGGGCTAGCTTTGCAATTAAAACATGTCTGGGATGATCAATATTTAAGAAAATAAAATCTGTAGTCATATTTTTAAGACTCTCTATAGCATATAATGCATTTTCCTTTTTAATATAGAATGGAGAAAATCGAAATGATATACCTAATTTCGGCAGAACAATCATCTTGAGGAATAGCCAACGAACGTGGGTCGCATTCTTCCTGTTGGACATGAGCGAAGAACCCTGGACCAGCTACGCTGGAATCCGATACAAAAGAGAGCACTTTCTCTTCCCCTTGGAATGGAAATGTTTCTGTAAAAAAATTAACTAACTAATTATGAAACATTAAGGATTTTCCTGCTAAATTTCTGTCATTATACTTTAATTTTAAAGACCAATGAACATCATATAAAAAAGCAGGTAGGGTTTTTAAGAAGAAATATCAAATCCTTAGAAACAAACTATGCATTTTTCAAAAGAAATTTATAAGAATATAAATACTCCCCCTATAGAGTTTCAAAATAAAATTGAACTATGCAATACACTGAGAAATACTTTTAACAAATATTATTATTTATAATAACTTACAACTACACCGTGTAGTGACTTCTAAGTAGAATTATTAATTTAGCATTCTGGGCAATTACACATCAGACAGGATACTAAACAGTTATATATCTAAAAAGGAGAATGATTGACAGCTCGTTATAGTTTATTTTTTTAAATCAGTCACTTCGGGATAATTTTCTCGCTCGACTTGCCCCGTAACCATTGTAATGACAGCTGCGGCAAATGGTCGTGTCTCATACTTGTTTCTTTCCCACCTCATTTACGCCTAGCTTATTTCGTTTAGTGAAAAGCCCATGTAGGAAGATTGACTTGAACTACAGTTTCAGAATAAGGTGGAAAAAATAAATACTACATGGTGATGATGATACGCATTACGATCCTAACAACCATAGAAGGTCAGAAAGGCCTTTGAAGTGTCTATTTTAAAGTAACAGAGAGCAGCAGCTGCAGAATATAAGTATAAAATGATAACAATGTTTCAGATATGAGCTGAGTAAAATCTTTTGAGTAAGAGAAGCAAAAATTACAGTATCGTTTTTACTACTTTCTTTTTAAGACAATTTTGTTTACTGATTACTGATTTAAAAAGAATTTGTTCAATTATTTAAAAGTTTGATCAATACATTTTCCCCCAAACTGAACTGAATATTTGGAAGAGGTTGCAGATTTTCTAACATGTTTGAAAAAAATTTATACCTTCAGAATTTTTCAGCCCATTTTTCATTTTTTTGATTTTCCACAATTTTTCAGGATTTCCTAGGTGAATGGAAATCTTGTGCAAAAATCTTGTGAAATCTTTGTCTTGAAAGAAAATTGACAGAGTTCATAGAAAAGGAAATCAAAGAAGGTGCAAAGAAACTTTATATCGCTTTTTTCTGGTATTAAAACTCGTTTTCTAGGTAATTAAATGTTCCGAACGCAAAGCTTATTTTGAAAGATGTATTTATTATAGTATATATAATATTATTACTATTTCAAAAGCAAAAAATTAAAAAAATCTATAAAATATAATCTTCTTTCTACTGAACTCTTGTTATAAAACGGAAAGCAATCGTTGCAGAATTCTTTCTAGGTAGATTTTATGTTATTTACTTAATTTCACGCAGAATTCTTTTTAAATCACAACTGTGTTTGAGATTTCTTTCTTTCGATAACCTATAATTTTCTTTCAAAAACTTTCTGCCGCTATTGTGTGCTTAAAAAATTGCTATGATCATACGGCCCTGAAAACATTTGATGAGTAAACCCAGCAGATGACTCGGTTTACTTAAATTTTTTTTTTTTCTTTTTTTGTGTAGCACATGACTGATTGTTATTTAGTAGTAGGAAATCAGTTAGAAGTTTAAGATGCGCAAAGTTTAATATAGCCCCATTCGCCGGTTTCAAAGTATACTACTCAAATCGTACAGTCTTTCGGACGCTTTTTCATTATTTCTGCTCTCTGCTTGTTTACTAAATTTATAAAAACACACAAAATATAGCATATGGAACAACACAATACTATATGACCAGAACAAAATTTTGAAAGGTGTATAAAATTAGGTATCTTAAAATTTAAAGGAGATTTTATATAGTTTGGTTTGGTTTATTAGATTACGGCAAAGCACTCGAGGGCTATCTGCCTTAAGGGAGGGATGCCTTCGTGGAGGACTTTTCAAGGGAAACTGGCTCGTATACACGTTACACATGGGGAAAACCACGAAAACACCCATGCAGCCAGCCCGTTCGCCGGGATTCGAACCTCGGACCGAACTACCAGGTTCAGCGACGTTACCGCTCGGTCGCTGGTGGGCCCTGAGATTTTATATATAACACTCTCGACAGAGTTTTATGGAAAATCCCATCAGCAGCATATGGGGAATATTATATTCATCCATATCAGCAGCATATGGGGAAACATCCATATCAGCAGCATATCATTCATATCAGCAGCATATGGGGAAAATCCCATCAGCAGCATATGGGGGATATTGTTTAAAGCTGTTTTCGCCTAATTTTATAATTTAAGTTTTCATGTGTCGCTTTCATATGTTTAATGTTCCTAAAAAGCCACCCAGACAGTATAGTCTTTCAGGGCTGGAATTCATATTCTGAATAAAAAATGACTTCTCAAATTTTTCAGACCTCATACTCGCACTATATTCAGCTTCGCGTGTACATAGAGGAATAAAAAAATATTTGACTAATTCTAATTTACTTCTTTTGCATTAATTATGTTAAGAAGTTTTTAAAAACCTTAAGCTGTCGTTCTCGCTTTTCTTCTTGGTAATCGTTCTTATTCTTTGTATCACCAAATATTTCTTTATAATTTGCGATTCGATTGTCAGATAAAGCTGAAATTTTATTAATAAAATTATCTTTATCTTATTTTTTATTTTTCAATTTTAATTCTTATTTTTTTATTATTTTCAAGATAATCGACACATATATAAGACTGATCCAGTTCGAGATTTGGGGTTTTTGTTTATCATACAGTATAAACGCTATTCCAAAAAACTTGCTTTGTCTTAGAAAGCCAGTTTTTGTCTGACAAAGGACGTAATTCTCTACAGATACTACATTTATTGCAGCTTTAATTACCGTAGAAGCAGTGCTGGCGTTCAAAAAAATTAATTTTCGAGAAACATATCAACTGACTGAAATTTAATTGTTGATAACTAACAATAAAAGTTTAGCCTGTTTAAAGGTAAGATTAGCCAGTTTTAAGGTTTATACTCCATAGCATGAGTCCTTTCACTGATACGTTTTTAACGAAAATCATTCCGTTTTTCATTAAAAATAACTCCCTAAATTTTTAATAGCTATACTGTTTATGCGGGTATCTAATATAGCACTAAATATGTTTCATTATGCATCAGCTCATATAAAAGAGAATTCAGCTAAATATATAGAATCTGACACATTTAGGCAAAAAATATTCATCATCATCCTATTGCATCTCAGAATTAATTATCAACCTAAATTCGCCTTATGTTTATAATATGAACTGCCAGACAACATTTAATGAACAACGCGTAAGTGATATGTAATTAATTGCCCTTAAATTATTATTCTGAATAAATCAAGTGAACGGAAAAACGGATGTTCTTATGAATGTATGGAATGATGAAACGGATGTTCTTATGAATGTATTTAAACAAAGTGGGTAACTTACGTGTGGTGGCATCTTCTAATTTGCCACAGAATTTACGGTTATCCACGCCGAAGAAATCATTCTTGCAGTTGACACTCTCTTCTATATGGAAAGTAGCAAACGTTACTTTGATTGCACATACACGTTTGCTGTGCCGCAGGACTCGGTACATGCAGTTTGAATTATCACTATAGTTGCTTGGATAGCCAGGACTCCGGACGAAGAATTCCTTCTGATTGAATGTTTGACTGCAGGAGGAACCTGGCAAGAAAGAATTCTAGTGTTATTGCCAAGTTCAGATTGAAACGGATAGAACTTATACTACAGACAAAACATGAGTACTTCATATTAAGTAAAACCATATAATAAATAATACCTAATAAGTTCAAAAAAGGTTAAAGAATAGCCGTATCTGTAAAATGCATAAAACAGCCACAGATCATAAACATATATACATGCATGAGTTGTGGTATTTATAAATTAATCAAGATAAAATTAGGCGCATTCTTATGCGATTAATTATTTTAGTAGTACCTATAACATAGTCTTTCCTTGGTTGTTTAAAATGCAAGATGTATTTTCTACATCTTCTAATAAACCAGGAAGAAGTAATTATTTCAAATTCTGCGAATTATTTTTCTTTTTCTTTAAGTAAAAAAAAATGGATCTTCAAACGGCTTCGACAAACGTAGTTTTTAATATAAGTAGTTTCATTTTCTTGCACGATTTAAAGCAAGTGACAACAAAGAAAATTTATGATATTTAGAAAGATTTATAGAAGATTATATCATTTTCCTTTTAACGTTCGTGAATATCCGAATAGCTGTTCGTGAATGTTTTTACATTACCAAGAAATTTTTATTCTTTATATTACCTTAATATCTTTTAATTATTCCTATGAAATAAGTTAGTGGCAACCGGTGTTCTTTCACGAACATATCTATATTAATCTGAAGACATCACAGTACATTTTATGTAAATATTTTGGGGAATTATTACTTTGATATTTACATATATTCTGTAAAAAAGTTCCTACTATCTGCTTCATTATGCGTTTTTATTAAATTAATATAATTTACGATGTTCAAGATATATTAATCACTTGTTGCAACACAAGACCCCAATGTATTTGCTTCACGGACCTTGTATTCCTAGGTAACTCAACAACATATGTTTAAAAAGTGTCGCCTGTCTAGCCCTCGGACGTGTTGCACATCTAAGTAGATTTCCTCTTATAGAAGACACAGAAAAACAGCTTTAACATAATAGCTGGTCTGTAATCTTCATGGGGATCAGAAGCAGATGCAGAACATTTTATGTGATACGTATTTTTAATATTTATATTCCTTACTGTCTCCTGTAGTCTCCCTCTCTTTGTCTTTGAGCAAACAAAAGCAGTAACGTCTAATACATCTACGCAGATGCGTGTAGCAAGTATTAGCTTTGATTTCGAAAATTTTCTATATCAGTATTATTATGGTTTCGAATAGTTTACAATGCAAGACCTTATTTAAAAAAACTGGAGAGTTTCATAGGCAAAGCATAGGGCTAAGATGACTACTCAGTTAATAAAATGTCTTAATTCTTATAATTTCATTTTACACACTCAAAAACTGGTCTGAATGCTGAGTTTGACTCTTGCTTATTATCGTAATTAATGGTACCACTGCATAAACTAAGAACTTACGCTATGAAATTTTGGTACTCACTTTTTGGCTCGGGAGTACAGATCTTGATTTGTCGGATCCGGATATTGAAACCAGATCTAGAATTCTGGTTATCGCTGACGAAGCTGAGGGTGGCTTCTTTCTCAGCGAACATAAAGACACCTACAGGAATGAGAATATTACATTTATTAGTCCTTTGAAGCAGAAAAAGATTTTTTATCTACAATACATGACGATGATTCTTCCGGGAGGCGTTTGTCTATACCTAATGAGGAGAAATGGATGCGTGAATGAATGCGAATACTCTTTAGGATTTTTAATTGGATACGGTAGAGATGATATCAGATATTGTAGTGAGAATAATTTTCCCCTGCTTTTAGTTCCATCACTTAGAGCTTATAAAATTCACATAATCACTGAGATCCTAAATGTTTCATAATTAAAAAAAATTAATCTCAAAGGTGCCATAAAAGTCATAAAAACAGATAGACAACCCATAATTCATTTAGATTTGTGATAATTTTTATTACAGTTACTTAATTTTTAACAAAATGCAGATAATGTATACCATATCCTATAAAATTATGCCCAAATTGCATATGCTTTTACTTCTAACATGCAAACAACATTGAAGCAAAATTGCAAGTAGCAACCTTTCTGCAAACGCGTTCTAAGCGAAATAAATGAAATCAATTGACTACTTAGATTTTTCGTTTTTCGATATGAATTAATTGAGTTAATTGAGTAATAGTGTTGTCATGTTCGTTATTTAGGAAAGACGTTGATGAAAATGGGAAATGAAATGCAACAAAATTTCAAACTAAAAGGTTATTTATTATTCTTATGCTGAAAGTTTAATGTTAGGAAGTTTATAAAATGATCTAAATATCACACCTTATAAAGAATTATTGCATTCCCCTGTACCTCCTACTATAGTGTAAGTGATAGTACATCCAACTAGTAATTAAAATATCTATGGTTCAAATCTTGGCTAGCTGTCATAGCTGGCTTTTTGCGCTTCCTGCTTCGACGTAACCTAATATCCCTATAGTGGCGTCCGAATTAAAATAAGATGGACATCATTTCATCATAACCTGAATTTAGTCGGCCAATTCTCGCGCCTCTTACTAGTCGCCTCTCAAGGCTAAGGCGAGAATCAATCAAACATTTTGTGGCACGCGTAGCTAGGAACTGGATAACCCATGGTTTGAATTCCCAAGAGGACATAGTTCACTTTTATCTTTTCTACTTCGAATATCTTAAATATCTGTATAGCCTTAACCAAATAATTATGCTTTCTCTGAACGTACGTTTTAGTAGATAATGAGAATTTATTCTAAGTATACTTTTAAATAGACTACGTATGTTAGGTTTTGATAACAGCACTTATTAAAAGTAAGACATCAAGACTTAAAAGCAAGGCAACACGGTTCAGAGGAAAATATAACAATGAAACGTCCAAAAAGAACTAGATATATATATTGCTTATTTTTCTATGTTTAGAGAGTGTTAATGGTTCATTATTATAACTTTGGTTAATATTACCTTACTAATGCTGCATAAATATCAACTTTCAACCGTGCGTGGAAGATTTGTTATTATAATAATTTCCTTACTTTTCATACTCCGTAATTTTTCATTAACTAACAGTAGTTTATTTAAGTTATAATTTTGTATCTTTCTTAAAGTAAATAATACCGAAGCTGAAATGAATAACAATGAAAAATATTAATAAAGCGATATGTGTATTTAATATTACGAAACTGAGATAAAAACAGGAATTCAAAAAAATTTAATTAAATCTGTGATGCAGAAAGTAAATAACAAGTAAATAAATTCGAGAAACATATATATTTTTATTGATTTCATTAATTTTTATATATCTACGAATTAAATGTTTCGTCCAAGTATTTAGAATAAATATTTTTTTTCAGTTGCTGCCGATTACACGTAACCTTAATATCAATACATAACATATATTTAGTGAATAAACTTGTTGAATTTAGTCAGTATGTTACATAACAAAATTAACTAAATACATTAAACTTTCCGTTTAGAATATAAAAACTATATTTAGCCTTATATTATTTAAGTTCAGATTTCGCTGGTAATTATATATTGTTTAATAGTCTTAAGGGGTAATTTGGCCTGAAGGACTATTAATTTTGTTTTGGCATTTTGCATTGAAAACTTTAAAAACGCTGTATCACTTTTCAAATCGTTGCCACCATATATTATCGCCCTGTCTTATATTTAAAGAAATTAAATAATGAAGAATCTGCATAAATGTATGTATGTTTCTCACATTGTGATAAAACAACGTACCTAGAAACATAAAAATTTGTAATCTTCCATAGCATATGGGCATATAGAAACCCTAATTTGAATTTGAAATTTGTTTTATTAGCGATGTCATATTTTGTAACACTTCAACGAATATTTGATTAAAAAGCTAAACGATTTCAAAGCGAGAACTGACAACACTGTAAGAAACAAAACATTTTATCTCCAGCGCGCGAGACTCTGTATCGTAAATTCTAAAGATATAATCATTTTAAAATTAATTTCGATATTGCAGTTGAACTGAATTTTATAGCTTGAGTACGTAGAACATGATATTTTAATAAATAAAAGTAACACACAACGTTAAAAAAACGCGCCTTTGGACGTAATTTAAAATCTGAAACCTTTCAGATTTTTTGTATTTTTTAATTAATTTATTTATCTTTAGTTATTATTTTAGAAACATCATTTAAGAGCTTAATTTTCCTTCTGAAAAAAGAATCTGAACTTTTGTGATTAGCTAATCTTGGAATTCTATATAATACACTGTTTCGTCTAATATTAAGGTATTCATATATAAAGGGGAAAGGCACTTAAGTTCATTTGAATTATGTTCCGATGCGATGTTCGACGGCAGAAATTGTCATTGTGTGTGAAAGAATCTACAGGCCCAGCAGTGGCTGAGTGATGGCTCACGACTGAACCCATCAGTACTCGTTAATTGCCCATCACGATGGCTAAGCGCTAGCAATTGGATATGGGTCCATATATCTTCGAAAGAGGTGGTTACATAGGATTTTTACTTTGTTCCATTGTGTAACGTAAATATGCACCAGTTTTTCCTTAGATCTGTAAAGAGAATATGAATATGTTTCTGTTAGATAACTCTGGAAGAAAGCATTCTTTCTCTTATGAAGATAACCTTCCTGACCTTAACATATATCTGCATATTTCCGAATATAAGCCACTCTGCGCAGAATTTAGATTTTCATGCGAAAACCAAAATTGAAAGCACGTGTTGAGAAGGATTTAAAATCGCTCTACAGACCTATAAAACGAGCTGACGAGCATGGATTCACCTTAAGCTGCCATCCGAAAAATAGGTCTGACAGCACTGTGGAATGAAACAGCAGTTTTGTTCCAAATAGTTTATCTTTCTGAAATCTTCCGGAATTTGGCACGCGCATTGATACTTTGGCAGGTGTAAGTGGGCATGACACCAGAATTCCACCATTAGTCGTACAGGCACAGTCCCACATCACACGAGTAAAACACAGTTCACTTTTTATATATAGATGCTCCCCATTTGTGAACTTTCGCAGATATATATATTATATTTGTGAATTATTCGTAAGTATTTTGAACTCAAATACAAACCTCTCCTCCTCTCTAAAAGAAACTTCAGTAGTAAAACGTTTACTAAAATTTCTTGGGTTATACTTTTAAATGCACATTAATTTATTCAATACGCAAACTGACATGGGTGCACTTTGCCTTAAAATAAAGGTCTATGACCTCATCTTCCTGAATCAAATCTGCTTTGCTGCTGTTTTTATCTCTGGGATGAGCAACTTCTGTTCACACGTGGGTCAGCGGAAGATGTACACCTTACAGGAAAAAAAAGAGGGACTGCTGTTCTGCATCTCCCGTTCTACTTGGCCGATTGACGAAATTTAACTTGCCTATTTCCTGTCTCCAAAGCATGACTTAGAATGTATATTAGATTTATATAGCATTGTTCTAACATAGGTATTTTGAAACGAAATCGGATTTTTCTGAAATGACATACCTATTTTTTTCTATATTTCGATTCTATGACTCAAATTGTGGAGCAGTTTTTAAAAAATTAGCTCTAAAATTTTATTTGCTCAATGTTAATTGAATTTGGCATGTATTTATTAATATCTCTTTTCTTTTTTTTTTTTTTTTTTTTTTTTTCATGAAACTGACTTGATTCTTTCTTTCACAATTCGAATTAGGTTCAATCCAAATAAAATTCGCAGTTATTTCTGATTTGTTTTTAAGTTTATATTTTTAGTAATTTTTATAAATTTTTAGAAAAAAATAGGAATTAAAGCCTATAAAATTTTTTACATCTTTTTAAAGTAAATGCATTTCTAAGCGTAATTGCAAAACATTAGAGCATTTTATTCAAAATTTGTCAGGTTGTACTTGACTAAGACGCTAAATATTGGCACCTTTTAAAATTTGGTATATTTGTTATAAGAGATAATAACGCCAAATGTGGTTTAAGCACTTGTTAAAATTATTTGACATAATAAATGATGCACTTTTTTTTCCGGTCGTGCACGATGAAATAAGGGAAAGGAAAATGGATTCATATAAATTAATTTCACCAAGTGAATTATTCTTCGCGCAAACTGAAAAAAAGTGCGCCAAGATAAATTTTTGAATTTCTCGGTAAGTTTCTCGTCAAATTTTATAAAATATAACATTTAGGAATAATTTGAGTCGTAGAATCAAAATACAAAAAAAACGTCATTTTAGAAATAAATCCGATTTTGTTTCAAAATACCTATGTTAGAACAATGCTATATGTAAACCTAATATATATCCTAAGTTGCGCTTTCGAGACATAAAAAAAAGTAAGTGATATTTAGTCAATTGGCCCAGTAGAATGGGAGATATAGTACTGCCCCCTTTTTTTTCTTTTTCCCCCCGTAGAGTGTACATGAGTCGTATAACATGTTTTATTTATACGATTATTATTTACCGCTTTAAAAAATATTTTCTGAAGTAATAAACAAGGATTGTACTTCCAATAATCATTACAAATCGTTTTTCAACTATACCGAGGGGGGAGGGGAACACGAAGGAATTTAAAATACCATTTTAAATACAACATACATTTTTCATTA